ATGAAATAATACTTAAATTAATTTACATAAAGAATAAATGATCATGAATTTACATAAAGAATAAATGATCATGAATTTAATTACATGTATGTACATGTAGTATATACATGTACATAAATAAAACGTATTATAAAAGTTGTAGTACTACATGTACATTAGGGCGAGATTTGTGCAAAAGAACACATCTATAATAATATTACATGGCCTTGACTAATTATTCTCCATTGTCAAAATGTAAGCTAAGGTATGAGTTTATTTGAAACGCAAATTAAATTGTTTATGAAATATTGTGAGGATAACAGAACATGGGGTCTAAGGCCACAGATAAATTCTGTTGTTTAGAACACGAATGGCTAGAAAATTCCTATTGCATCATTTGGCCTAGTAACCAATCATTATAATTAATTACGTCATGTTTGACCAATTAGATAATTGAAAGCAGAAACCCAAGGGTAGGAAATCATCAGAGCTCTGGATGTTCATTAGACACCAGGCAGATTCTAAGAGAGGAGAGACTGTTGGGGTTCAAGGGACACCATCTGGTTTCAGAATGCCCTGTTAAGTTGTAGGAGAGCCATATGATGTCGTGGGATCTGTCACTGTCAGTAAACTCATTCTGTGAAATAGTGGGGTTGAGAGAGTAAAGGATGTCTTTATTTTTAATCTATGCTTGTAACCTATGTATCCAGTGCTTGACATAAAAATATAGAAACAAACTGTTTCATTGTTATTTACATGTGTAACCATAATCTGCGCAACCTGCAAAATTCACAACGTGGGATGTCAGAGTGACATTTAAAGATACGTCCTAACCAGTAGAGAGTTACAAATATAACCAGAGACAATACTAAACGATCACAAGGCTAATAAAGTATGTAGCAGAGAAGAGAGTACATGTATGTGTCACATGTTGAATGTGGGAAGTTTTTGACAGGTGGTCTTTCCACATAACACTGCATATCCCTCATAGCACAACATATAGTGTATGCCTGTGTTCATTAGCCCAGTCAGAGAGAGAGCGAGAGAGAGAAATGGGGTTTAAAGTCCACTCAACACAAACTAGGTGATTTTGGGACTAACATGGTTCAATTTTATTTCCATAATTTGCTTGCACGTAGGTGTCTTTAGCAGTGGGAGGAAACTGGAGGACCCGAAGAAAACCCATGAGGTTGGACAGGCGAATCGAAACCACTCCAGTTAACTCAATGACAGACTTTATGATACAGCGCACACGTGCTAACCATTCAGCCATCCAACCCCCCTAGCCTAGTCAGAGCAGAACAATAGAGGGTTAAATCCTTTATCATTTCCGCATTTATTATTTTAAAGATGGATTATATACATGTACTGTAAGAGCTAAATTTGCCTAATGCAGGTCCTTATTTTGGGCTTCAAATGCTATATAAATTCTGTTCCCTACAATTCTTATGAGTGACCTAGCATGATCCATGGCCAAAGTAGAGTGACCCACTAAATTTATGAGTAATCTAACATGATCCATTACACTCGGCAAACCTCAGCAGATTCCAGTACCCTACATCTATATACATGTATGACGAAGGCCGTCATTGGAACTACTTTCAAGTTATCTTGATGTGGTAACTGATCTATAGATTAATACACATGTTGGTCATTTACAATTTTCATGGCCATAAACATACATTATATTTGTTTCCCAAATTAGGTAATAATGCCCACCGTTATTCAGGGTATGGTGAATGTCTGTCTATTCCATACTTGGAATTTAACTGTTATCAGTCTATGATGTAAGTAATTAGAATGTTGGCATCTATAAAAAGAGCAAAACCAGGGCTCGAATGATCCGACACCAGACACCGTTTGGGTTCTTTAGACAACTATTTGATTCTCAGACCACCATTTGATTTTGGGAGAGCCAGGATGTAGAGGTTTCCAAAAGCTAACTACATGTATCTCTCTCTCTCTGCGAAGTGGATTGGGGTTGAGGAAAAGTCATGTTAATTTTAAGTGTTGTAATGTAGACTATTGTTTAACTGCTTTGGCTTTGACATGAAAACCTATGCCAAAAAGTTGTTCCTTTTACAACATTAAGATAGATTTTTAAAACAGTAGCCTGTTCAGAGGCACGGGGCAAACCACTAGACGATCAGAGGCCAAATGGTAGTGTTACAGGTGTAATTGTACAATATGATACGAGCCCATTAGGAGCACAGGAAGACCATTGGCAGCCCATGAGCACAGTATGGGCTCAGATTGGGTCCTGGGAAACCGCTTACTAGGAGTTTATAGGCGCCAATAGAAGCAGGGTCTGGGAAAGCTTGGAGGCCGAGAAACAAAAGGGGGGTCCCTAATTTTCAGTTGCGTTTCAGATTTTTTATGGCATTTTTCGGTATATGATACAGACATTTGTAATGTTTCAGTGGGTAGCGATTGGCCTTTTAATTCAAAAACGTTATGGTTTTAAATTAAAAATGACAATTTGGTATTTAGAATGGCACATTATGAAATATCGATACATATTATCGTGGAATGAGTAGAAATAATGGTGGATATTGGTAGATCGTGCTACCGCGTTTCAGTTGATAATCGAGCGTCCCCAATAACACCCGCAATTATGAACCATTCATGTCGGTTTAGTCCATGTCCATAATTAATATTTACATCACACCGGAAGTGTTTGATTGTGTGTTTGCGTTGACGATTAGAATATCGAACCTTCTCTACAATAATGGTGAGATAATTTTATTAATCAATTGAATTCGCCATTCTGAATAGTAAGGTGGTGCACAGAGGCCCACCTGTTCAAACAGTAAATGTGATCACCCCGAGAGATAAATGACACAGATCGGATGCACGACCATGACTGTAACAACAAGACTCGGACCTAACTTCTATCCGTATTTGCATACACGATTCCCAACTATGCAATGTCTTTTGAAGCTTTGATTTGACTTGCCCTGTACTGTAGTTTAATGGTCGCGTGTCTAGCAGACCAGGTGATTTTATATATTTTGTAGTGTTCTGGTGGATTTGTCGATGGTAGATTTTAATAGCACTTATTTAAACTTTCTTCATCTGACCGATCACGTCAGTACAGCAATTCCTAAACCTGAACATACAGGGTGAGTGTAATCAGACCTGCGTTCAGAGCTGAACTACGACTTGGCCTGCTCTCGGAGCATTATTTTTTTTTTTTAACAATTTGTAATGTCAGGCAATCTAACCAGTGTCGATTCACTCAGATATGTTTTTTCTTCAATCTCTTCATTTTGATTTGCATAAATACTCCACACAAAAACAATATCATAACCACTTGTTTCCAATATTTACATTATTTTTGGCTATTAACATTTTGTCACTGACTCCATGTGCTGACGTCGCACAAAAAGCTAACCAACCTCTTAACTCTTGTATCCTTCCACCTCAAAATCATAAATATTCACCCAAAAATGGCACAAAATGTAGTTTTCAAACCCTTTTCTTCGATTCTACACCAAAAAGTCAACAAAGATCGCCATGCAAAAGGGAGAGGAAGAAAAAAACTAAAAATAACTTTTGCCCTTGTTTCGATGCCCTATTCTTTCTCCCCTCAGCATTTACTAGAAAACAGTAATACTACTTTTATTCAGCAACATGGAAATGTTGACGTTCATAACGTTGGTCTGCCAATCATTCCACAATTGCTTGTGAACACTCTACAGACTACATTTATCGTGTGATTGTTTTCAAATTTATTCCTTTGCTGGCTCCCCAGTCACATGGATATCAAAGGGAATGATCAAGCAGACTCGACTGCCAAGTCTGCTTTAGATCTTCCCATATCCGGATTTTTAACACCATATACCGATTTTAAATCATCCATAAATAAATTTATATTTGATCGCTGGCAACGGTCTTGGGATCTTGCAGACACAAATAAACTTCATCACATCAAGCCTCTCTTAGGAGACTGGCCAAGCTCCTATCGCACGAGCGGAGAGATGAAGTTGTCTTGTGTCGCTCTCGCATAGGTCAATACTTTTTTAACACATATTTTCATCTTAAAGCGAGAGCCTCAACCAGAATGTGAACACTGTCATGTTCCTTTGACAGTTAAGCACATTCTGATTGAGTGCAAGCATCTCAAAGAAATTAGATCCGAATACTTCCGTTGTCAATCATTACAGAATTTATTTGCCCGACCGGATCTATATTGTAAAGCGTTAGATTTTTTTAAAGGAGACACATTTTTATAGAAAGTTTTAATTTGTATATATACTGTTTTTGACATTTTATTTTTTAAACATTTGATATACATAAAATAATATTTTTTAATTTTAATAGGGTTAACTGTGATAATTGTTTTTATTTATGTATATTAATATTTTGTGATTTCATTTAATGTGTCTTGTAAATATCACCATATGTCTGGCGCAATATAGCCCGGTTGGAGCTGACGTGCAATAAAACCACATTTCATTTCATTTCAAATTTATTCATGTTGTTAACATGAGTGAGATGAAGAAGCATATTTGCCTATTTAATTTCAATAATTTCCAGGAATTTCATTTGTAGTTATAACTCTTGTTTCACTTTGTTGAACCATGTGAACGATAAAAGTTTTCATCCTATCTGTATGAATTTTATATGCATAACAAAGAAGTCTATTGAATTTCAGCAATTTCTGTTAATTACATTTCACTTTGTTCAACCATGTGAATGCTCAAACAACAAAAGTTATCATCCAATCTGTATGAAATTTATATGCATTACTTAAATTACAAAAAAGAAAAAGCCTGTTGAATTTCAACAATTTCTGTAAATTGCTTACAGAACCTTTTGAACCCTCACTGACGAAAATTATAATCTGATCTGTATGAAATGCCCCCATTTACCTACAAAAGAATAAATATGTCGGCCACTCAGACGATGTAGCTGGAGTGTGCATATGTATTGTTACCTGGCAGCCTCTCTTTTATAGATTATAAGAAACTAATGATATTTTAACTTTTACATATTACAGGAAACCAAAGATCTTAAAATATTTCATCAGTGTGTCGTATGTGATGAAATTTTCCAAGAATATGATGATTTAAAAGTACATAATAAAACACATGTTAAAGATGAGAAAAATGATGATGTAGATGAATATTGTCGTGTCAAAGAAGAGAAAGCTGATGATGTAGATGAATATTGTCGTGTTAAAAATGAGAAATCTGATCATGTAGATGAATCTTGTCAAACTGATATTGAAACTGTTTATCAGTGTAATTTGTGTGATGAAGAATTTGAATCTGACACTGATTTAGAAAAACACTGTGAAATACATGTCAAAGGGGAGACTATAGGAAATATTTTACAACAATTTAAAGAGGATGATAAGATTCAAGATAAAATGTGTTTTAAAAAACCTTTTATATGTGAATTTTGTGGTAAATCATTTAATAAGCAAAGTCAGTTTCAGATACATGTGAGAATTCATACAGGCGAGAGACCTTTTAAATGTGATGTTTGTAGTAAATCATTTATTCAGAAAGGATATATTGAAAGACACATGAAAACTCATACTGCAGAAAGACTTTATAAATGTGATGTTTGTCGTAAATCATTCAGTGATCGGGGTATCCTTAACAGGCACATAACAATTCATACAGGTAACAAACCTTATAAATGTGATGTCTGTGGTAAATCATTTAGCAACAGTTATTATGTACAGATACACATGAGAATTCATACTGGCGAGAGACCTTATAAATGTGATGTTTGTAGTAAATCATTCAGCCGAGGTAATACTCTACAGCAACACATCAAAGTTCATACAAGAGAAAAACTTTTTACATGTGATGTTTGTGGGAAATCATTCAGTGATCGGGGCACCCTTAACAGGCACTTGAGAATTCATTCAGGAGAGAAGCCTTTTAAATGTGATGTTTGTAATAAATCATTCAGTTTTCAAGGCAGCCTTCACAGGCACTTAAAAACTCACACAGGCGAAAAATCCTATAAGTGTGATTTTTGTGGTAAACGTTTTAGTACCAGTTCTGATGTACAGAGACACATGAAATCACATACAGGCGAGAAGCGTTTTAAATGTAATATTTGTGGTAAATTATATACTCAGAATAGCAGTCTAAAGAAACACATGATATCTCATAAAGGAGGAGGGGGGTTGGATGGCTGAATGGTTAGCGTGCGCACGCCGTATCATAAAGTCGGTCATTGAGTCAACTGGCTTGGTTTCGAATCCCCGGTTGTACGTGACAAGGAGTAGGGTCGCCCGTCCAACCTCATAAAGGAGGAAAACCATATTGTGATGTTTGTGGTAATTCATTTAAAGGGCCACATATCAAAACCCTCAAGAAGAAATGTCTGAAAGCCCTCAACATTTTGAGAGTCTTATCAAACACTGACTGGGGAGCAGACCGTAAGGTCTTGCTCATATTATATCGAGCTTTAATAAGATCTAAACTCGATTATGGGTGTATTGTGTATGGGTCTGCCATTGACTTTAAATTGATACAGAGTGTTTGAGGTCATGAGACGAAGAATCGTATTAATTTTCAACGATTTCCGATAATTACTGCCAAAGTTATGGCCCTTGAACACTTTTAAAAACCTTGTGACCCTCTAGAAGCTAAAGTTATCATCCGATTGACTTCAGATTCATACACAGAGTGTAAGGTCTTGAGACAAACAAGTATATTAATTTTCAACGAATTTTTATGACTTGAACAGCTAAATCCATGATGTTAAAAGTTTCCTATACTAAACGTTAGCATGGGGCAAAACTTTATAAAAACCAAACAAATTCTAATGGTTTTCTGATATTTACTTAATGAGTTGTTACTCTTAATCAGATTTTAATGTATTATAAATGTTTCATTACCGAAAAAAGTAAAAATATGTGACAACTCTTGTTGACTGCCCGGACGAGTTAGCTGCTATGGGCGTATGTTTCGTTGCCTGGCAACCTATCTTTGTATTTAATATTTATATGCATAAAAGTTGTATTTTATTTTTAATTTTACTAACTGTGATATTGTTTTTATTTATGCATATAATGTTTTTCTGTGATATAATTTAGCCTGTCTTGTAATATTCACCATATGTTTGGCGCAATATAGCCCGGTTAGAGCTGACGTGCCATAAAACCACATTTCATTTCATTTCATTTAAAGGGAAGACTTGTCAATGTGATATTTGTGGTAAATCATTTACCCAAAAATCTAATCTACCAAGACACATCAAAATTCACGAAAACACCGACTCAAAGCATAAAAATTTAGAGAGATAAATTGTGTTTAACGTCAACTTGACATAAACTTGTGCATATGGAAATGGGGGGTTGGATGGCCGAATGGTTAGCGCGCTGCATCATAAAGTCTATTATTGAGTCAACTGGCGTGGTTTCGATTCCCTGGTTGCATGTGACAAGGAGTAGGGTTGCATGTCCAACCTTGTGGGTTTTCTTCGGGTCCTCCCACTGCTGAAGACCCCTACGCACAAGCGAATTACGAAATAAAATTGAACCATATGTTAGTCCCAAAATGACCAGGTTTGTGTCAAGTGGACGTTAAATCAAATTTTACAAATGAGGCAAAATGTTGTTTATTAGAAATTTAATGTCCAATAAATTACATGATATTATGGACAGGTTGATTTAAATAAAATTATTTACATATAAAGGAGTAACAAAAAAAGAAAAGTCCATGTATATATAAAAAAAGAAAGAGTCATCAATGCATATAGAAAAAAAAACCTTTGGGAAAAAGAATCTGCTCACCTTATGTGGAAATATGTAAAGGCATTAAATATGTTACTGGACATCAAAGAACTTAAATTAAATGGTGAAAATCATCTTATAAATGTAGATAGATGCATTATTCAAGAGTTAAATCTGCCTATTACATGTATTTCTTTAGGCCTTAAATTAGACATTTACATGTATTAACTTCACACAGCCATAATCAACTCTCTAGGCCATTAGATGTTCATAATTTTTAAAGGATTTAAAAATAATTAGCATTAAATGTTTTAATTAAAAACTGGAAAAAGGTAGCAATGACAATTGAGACTCCACTATTCTACAAACAGCCCAAACTTAGCTCAGAATGAAGTAATGTGTTCAGTTAAACTTAAATTTAGGGAAGGTTTGATTCAGCTTGCATTTTGTTCACAGGTGATCTTTCATTGTTACATGTATTACTATTTTATCCTATTGTTAGTGTGTTTACTGTTATATATCACAAAATGCAACATACATGTAAGAAATTCTACTGTCATCCTTGGATTCTTTTTAATAAAACACATTTTGTCACCAAATCTGGTTTTTGATTTTGTTATTTCATCCAGAATGGACATACCATTTGCTTATTCTACCTGCAGAGTGGACATAAACTTGGCTTATTTTATCCACAAAGTGGACGTACCCTTGGCTTATTTTACCCACAGAGTGGACGTACCCCTGGCTTATTTTACCCACAGAGTGGGCGCACCCCTTGCTTGTTCTACCCATAGAGTGGATGTACCCTTGCTTTACCCTTATCCAAAAAGTGGACATACCCTTGGCTTATTTTACCCACAGAGTGGACACACCCTTGACTTTTTTTACTCACCGAGTTGATGTACCCTTGACGTATTTTACCCACAGAGTGGGCACACCCTTGGCTAATTCTACCCACAGTGTGGACATACATGTACCCTTGATTTATTTTACCCACAGAGTAGACGTACCCTTAGCTTATTTCACCCACAGAGTGGGCATACCCTTTGCTTATTCTACCCACATAGTGGACATACCCTTGGCTTATTTTACCCATAGAGCGGAAGTACCCTTGAATTATTCTACCCACAGATTGGACATACCCTTGGCTTATTCTACCCACAGAATGCGCATACCCTTTACTTATTTTAACCACAAAGTGAACGTACTCTTGGCCTATTCTACCCACAGAGTGGGCGTACCCTTTGTTTATTCTACCAACAAACTTTATCTTGAAAAGTGATGAAATAATAAGAAAGTGCAACACAGAATGTACATATAGCTTCATAACATATGGGGGCCGCATTGACTGGATACACTGTAACCGGTGTATCATTTAATCTTGTGTATCTAGCACTAATTTCTTTCACATTCGTTTAATATCAAATCTTTGTTTAAAAATTTGTAAAAACTGTTTAAAATCACCATAAATCGTTTAATTTGTAATTCTGTCCAGTTTAAAGCTGACCATTCAATTTTGATAATGAGTGTCCAATTTACAAAGTGTTTAATTTCTCAATCGCTGTTAAAAAAAATAAACAACCCAATTTATTATTGATGTATAATGATTAATTTTTGAACAGTGCTCAGGGAATTAAATACTTGGGCACTCATTATCAAAATTAATCAATCTGCTTTAAACTGGACACAATAATACAAAATAAAAACAATGTTGTTCTTTATTTTAAAAAAATAACAACTATGTACAAGATGATTTTGGGGTTATTTTAAATGATTTTTACTAATTGTTAAATAAAGATTTGATTGATATTAAACAAATGTGAAAGAAATTAGTGCTACATACCTAAGATTAAATGATACCTGAGTTACAGTGATAGCTGTCACTTGTATCCTATAAACATCGGGAGCCACAGTGGTGCAGTAAGTAAGACACCTGCTGGCCAACCTAGAGGTCCTGTGTCTGATCCCAATGTTGGCCAATAAAGTTTGTGATTTTCCGGTGTGGTTGTCAAGGTACAACATATAGTCATTTGAATAGTATGAAAAACCAAGGTCCCGTGTGCATATTGACAATGCACATAAAAGAACCCTAGGCAGTTGGAATCCGAAATAAACAATAGGCTGTAGCGCCGCTGTCCAGAAAAGATTTATCTCATAGCACATTGTATGGAGTATGCCCGTTTTCATTAGCCCAGTCGGAGCAGAACAGTAGGACGTTAAAACCTGTTTCATTTCTGTTTTTATTTTCAAGATGCAGTTATTGCAAGTCTTTATTTCAGTTTTCAATGTATATATAAATTCTGTTCCCTACAATTCTTATGTGTGACCTAGCGTTATTCATGACCAACCTCGAGTGATCCAATATATTTATGTGTGGCCTAGCGTGACCCATTATCCACCTAGAATGTCCACTATTTTTAAGTGTAACCATGAGTGCCCCACAATCTGTATGTAAGGCCTCTGACCCATGACTCACCTAACAATGTGACCCACCAAGAGTTCCCTACAATTTTTATACGTGGCCTACCTCGACCCATGACCCACTTACAGTGCCCCACAATTTTCATGCGTTGCCTAGCTTGGCCTATGGCCCACCTTCAATGCCCTACAAGTACAAGTCTTATGTTTGACCTAGCATGATCCATCACCAACCTAGAGTGTCAGATTATATTTATGTGCGGCCTAGCCTGACCCATTACCCACCTAGAGTGACCACCATTTATATTCGTGACCTAGAGTTTCCCATTATTTTTATTTGTGACCTAGAGTGCCACACAGTTTTCAAAAGGGGCCTAGCTTGACCCATGACTCGCCTACAGTGCCCCACATGTCTTATGCATGACCCAGTGTGAGCCATGACCAGCAACGAGTGTTCACCATTTTTATGCCTGACCAAGAGTTCTTGACAAGTGTCCCTGAACCACTTCTCCGGACCCCAGTGAAATTGATGGGTCCCAACAGGTGTTCAGTTTGTTCAATGGATTAACCCTGGGATCCATCTGTGTGACCAGCGGTGCTACATGAAGAGCATAAGAGCATGGGAAGTCCATTGGAAGCCCATGAGCACAGTGAGAGCTCAGATCAGGTCCTGGGAGGCCTTACTGGGTGTTCGGTGGTAATACAAGTAGGGTCTGGGAAAGCTTGGAGACTGCGAACCCAATGGAGTCCCTAATTTTTCAGTAACTTTTCAGATTTTGTTTAGTATTATTTGGTATATAGTACAGTCGTTTCGAAATCTTATTTTGAGGGGTCTTTAATATATTACGGTTTTAAATGAAAAATGACAATTTGTATGAAGAATGATATATAATCAAATATCGTTATATATTTTTTATGGAATAAGTAGAAATAATGGTAGATATGGGTGAAATTTGGGTAAATCGTGCTACCGTGTGTCAGTTGATAGTCGAGCATCCCCAATAACACCAGCGGTTATGAACCGTTCGTGTCGGTTTAGTCCATGTCCATACTAAAAATATTCTACACACCGGAAGTGTTCGATTCTGCCTTTGTGTTGACGATTAGAACATTAAGCCTTCTCTTGTAAAAATGGTGAGATAACTTTATTAATTCACCGAATTCGCCATTCTAGAAGGCAGGGTGGTGCACGAAGGCCTACCTGTTCATACAGTTAGGATGGTCACCTCGATAGATAAATGACACTGATTAGATTTACTTTGTATAAATCTTTAATGAGATGCATGACGGCAACTAGATAACAAACCTTAATCTCTCAACCCTCCGTGTTTCGAGATAAGACATGAGCCCATTACCTATAACGTTGCAGCTCCGGGAGCGATTCACACCCGTCATTTTTAAACAAAATTGACAATAGTTTTAATTAAAACAACGATTGATTATTGTTATTTATTTATAATATTTCTACAACACTCAACTACAATTAAGCATATAATCCTACCTGAAACGGGTACAAATCGTCGTTTTTAAAATCGAGGCGTTAAGCCGTTACTAAGACTGCCATCTTTTTAAACGATACGCTGTCATCATGAAGGCGGGGCTAAATATAAGGCTTTTATAACAGCCAATCAAAAGGACAATCGAAAGCACAGTAACTATGAATGGATTTCGATGGCGGTGAAATGTCAGACAAAAACAACGCTTCATTAATTTAAACGTGAATATTTGGAGTTAGGCGACAGTTGTGCCACTACATTGGCTTCTGTAAGTTTAATTAATCATAATATCATAAACTTATCTATTTTAAAGATATTACATGCATTAATAAAGAAATTGAGTTTGCCACTTGGAACTAAAGGCATCCAATCGTAGCTAAAAACAAACACATCAGTATATCTCAACGTTTTTAGCTACGTTCTCGTAGCTAGACGGCAACTAGAAATTGTTCCACTACTGATGTCTTCCGCCTTACTCCAGCCACAGTAGTGGCTCGTCCTACAGAGTTCCTTTGCGCAGGTTTTTTAGTGAAATCACTACAAAAAGGTTTCTGGCCTATAGCTCCCTTAATTTACACATAAACTGACCCAAAACAGTACTGCACCTAGCTTAACATATAATAAATCAATTCCTATTGAAATAAAGGTGAAGCCTTACCGCATAATTATATGATTTGATGAAACACAACAGCTACGCGAAATTTCAACTGGCTGGTGTCATGGCGGCTTGTGTAATACGTCATTACAATATGCAAATGTAGAACGCATAACTACAAAGAAAAACTGTTCAGTAACTATTTTAGTGGTCCAGTCTTCACTATTTGTCATAGAATTACTTATTCCAATACAAATTGCAATGATATGTGTTGACAATTGTGCTTTTGAACCTATTTGAACTTGCGTAAGGATTCTTTGACTGTATCAATTGTAACGTTAAACACACAGTTTAACATTACAAGTATAGTAACTAGACGGCAACTAGCGACGAGCAGCTTTTTTTAAATATAAATATTTTTCCAGAACTTTGGTATTTCCCGAAGGCCGGACATCTCAGAATTGTATAACAACACCAAGTTTATCAAAATCAGAGTTAATGTCCGTTTACTAACGCAAACTGGGAGACCCCTTTTTAACGAGATTGGCCATTGGCTTCAATTTACAACCTCACTCCATATCTCAGAAACAAAAATTATATTTATTTAATACTTTAATATAGATCTCAATATCTGCAAACAATCTGAACAAAATATCAAAATATTTTGGGTGACGAAGGAGGGGAAATATTGTTTTTACGTCAAATGTCCTTAGTTTTTTCGACAACCCTCTTCGCTATGGTTCATTTAATTGGTCGATCTTTAAGTTATTTTAGCAGGATTCTTATTTTGAACCAATCAACGATTATTTTGATAAGACGGTAATAATTCTTTGTTGTCATAAAATCAGCTTTAAATCATAATAATAGTGAAATATTGATTTAGAAATTAGAGAATCTAAACGTTTAAGCTCTGTTTAATATCTCTTATTGTAGAGGGGTTGGGTGGCCGAATGGTTTAATGTGTGTGTGTTGGATCACATGGTCTGTCATTGAGTCAAGTGCTGTGGTTTTTATTCTCCAAGGAATCTACCAATCTTTTGGGTTTTTCCTGGTTCACCTGTACCCCTGTACGCAATTGAACTATTGAAATAAATTGAAACATGACGTAGATTGTTTAATTAGTATTAAAGGAAATACTTTGGTTCTCAATCTCCCAAGGGAGAATACTTTCGGTCATCTCTCTCACAGTTATCAGTTATAGTTCTTGGGAAAGATACTTAGGCATTTTGATTGTACAAAATGACAGATCGACAGTAAAATGTTGCCATCATTGTGGAATAACAAATTAACAATCTATTATCCAGTGCCGTTCGTGATTGGATAGTGTTTCCCAGGGTTTGTACATGTACTTGATAGACAGGTCTAGTGTTCAGTTCCTCTTTTCTTCATTTGCTTAATAGAGTTAGTTTTTATTTTTTTAAAGATAAAAACATGTGACGTGGCCCATTTTTGATGCCATAGCGGTTTCTGAGAACCAGAATTTTTTTTTTGTAGCCTAATTGTGTTATGATTTTAATATATTACAGGAAACTCAAGATCTTAAAACATTTCACCAGTGCATTTTATGTGATGAAATTTTCCAAGAATATGATGATTTAAAAGTACATAATAAAATACATGTTAAAGATGAGAAAACTGTTGATGTAGAGGAATATGGTCATGTTAAAGAAAATAACCCTGATGATATGGATGGATATTGTCATGTTAAAGAAGAGAAAACTGATGATGTAGATGAATATTGCCATGTACAGTTTAAAGAAGAGAAAACTGAAGATATTGAAACTGTTTATCAGTGTAAATTGTGTGATGGGGAATTTAAATCTGAGACCGATTTAGAAAAACACTGTGAAATACATGTCAAAGTACTTAACTTAGAGGAGACTATAGGAAATATTTTACAACAATTTAAAGAAGACGATAAGATTCAAGATAAGATGGGTTTAAAAAAAACTTTTAAATGTGATTTTTGTGGTAAATCATTTAATACGCAAAGTCAGTTTCAGACACATGTGAGAATTCATACAGGCGAGAGACCATTTAAATGTGATGTTTGTGGTAAATCATTTATTCAGAAAGGATATATTGAAAGACACATGAAAGTTCATACCGGTGAAAAACTTCATACATGTGATGTTTGTGGTAAATCATTCAGTGATCGGGGTACCCTTCACGTTCACATAAAAACACACACAGGCGATAAACCTCATAAATGTGATGTTTGTGGTAAATCATTTAGTACCAGTGGACATTTACAGCAACACAGGAGAACTCATACAGGCGAGAAGCCATATAAATGTGATGTTTGTGATAAATCATTTAGTCGTAGCGGTAGTCTACAGCAACATATGATAACTCATTCAGGAGGAAAACCGTATAAATGTGATGTTTGTGGTAATTCATTTAAACGGAAGACTTGTCTTGTTATACACATGAATATACACACCGGAGAAAACGCTTTTAAATGTGATATTTGTGGGAAATCATTCACCCAAAATTGTAATCTACAAACTCACATAAAAATTCACGCAAAAATATGATTTATTAGTATTAATGATAATATTTATATAGCACATTCTTCACTTTTATTAAAACACCTTTTCGAGACGCATGTTTAGAGAAAGATATGGTATCCGCTTGACTCTATCAAAGCCATTTTCAGAGGACCCCAGATAACCCATGAGGTTGGACAGTAGACAGAGCCACAGTGGCTCAGTGCATAAGATGCTGGCTCACTAGCCTGGAGGTTGCGGGTTAAATCCCTGTGTTCGCTGAGAAAGTTCATCAGTGGTGCAGGACGGAGGGCCTGGCAAGGATAGCTGTCTAATTGTTTGGTTGGTTTAAAAAAAAACCAAGGTACTGCAAACTGCGTATACTTTGTCGTGTGCGTAAAAAATCCCCTGGCAGTTGGAATTTGATAAAAGAGTAGTCCGCAGTGCCCCAGCCTGAGTCAAAATTTCCTCATGGCACACTGTATGGCTTATACCTGTATTCTTTGGCCCAGTCGGAGCAGAACAGTAGCATGTTAAACTTCATTTCATTACATTAGAAATTCAAGTCTACTCCTTTTCACACACTGTTAAATAGACAGAAATAGAAATCGGGTTTAACATCCACTCACACAAACTTGGTGATTTTGGAACTAACATAATTTGGTACATTTTATTTAAATAATTCGCTTGCACATAGAGGAGTCTTAAACAATGAGGGGAAACCAGAAGTCTATTCAACCCCCTCTTCATTGTAATTACTTTTTATTCTACATGTACATGTACATGTATAATCTTAACTAAAGAAATATTGTTGTCTTGTCATGCTTTGATTCGTTTTAATAAAACACATTTTGTCACAAAAGCTGTTTTTTAATTTTTTGCTTATTATGCTCACAAAGTGAAAATGATAAAATATTTAGAAAGCAGTTGTTTAGTGGCTGACTTGCTGGTAATGGTTTGCTATAAACATTGTCTAACCTGCAAAAGCAGTTATTATATGTGGCTTGCCGAATTAACTAATTAAAAAATAACTGAGAGAGAAATTGGTGTTTAATGTCCACTAGGTCATATGGTTCAATTTTATTTCAATAATTCGCTTACGCGTTGGGATTTTTAGCTGTGAAAGGACCTGGAGAAAACCCATGTGGCTGGACAGGCAACCCTACTCCTTATCACATGGATGTGCTAGCAGGAGAATCGAAATCATGCCACTTGACTCAATGACGGACCTTGTGATTTCATGTACATGCATTAAACCACTAGACCTGGAACTAATAACGAGATAGCAACCCAATATCTTCGGGGAGCCACGGTAGCCAAGTGGGTTGGCTAGCCCACAGGTCGAGTGTTTGATCCCTGCATTGACTGAGAAAGTATATACACAGGTTACAATTCTATGGAATACAATTACTGCTTGATAATGACTAGAGAAACCTAGTCGAAATGTCGCTCAGTAATAAGCAGTAATTGTATTCCATAGAATTGTGACCTGTATATTCCAGTTCAATTACGAAATGCCATTGAAACAATCTATCAGACTGAGAAAGTATATGTGGATTTTCCAACTTGGTTGCCTCTTGTCAGTGGTGCAGGAAAGAAGGCCTGACAAGAACAGCTGTCTAGTTGTTCGGATGATACGAAAAACCAAGGTCCTGCATACACATTGGTGTGCACATAAAAGATCCCCTGGCAGTTGTAGTAGGCAGTAGTCTCACAGTCTGGCCAAAATTTCCCTCAATGCAGATTATATGGCTTGTAAGGCTTCTTCTGTGGTTTCATCCATGGTTTCATCACACAAATTTGACAGCATCATCGGATGTTCTGGATAAAGTATTTCTGGAATGAACTGGGTGTTAAAAGCTTGTGTGACTGACAAACATATCGGTTTATCCTCTTTTTATACGCCCATATTGAAATGTATATTGTCGTCGCCCCATCTGTCCATCGCTTTGTCCGTTGGTCCGTCCACAATTGCTTGTGGATGCTCGTGAGGTTAAAGTTGATTTATACACAGTGTTTAAGGTCATGAAACGAAGAAGCCTATTGATTTTCAGCGATTTCCGATAATTATTGCCAGAGTTATGGTCCTCAATAACTTCAAAAAATCTTTAGGACGCTCTAGAGGCTAAAGATAATATGCGATTGACTTTAAATTTATATACAGTGTTTAAGGTCATGAGATGAAGAAGCTTATTGATTTTCAGTGATTTCTGATAATTACTGTCAGAGTAATGGCCCTTGATCACTTCAAAAAATCTTGGGGACGCTCTAGAGGCTAAAGTGAATATCTGATTGACTTTAAATTTATACAGTGTTTAAGGTCATGAGACGAAGAAGCCTATTGATTTTCAGCGATTTCGGATAATTACTGCCAGAGTTATGGCCCTTGATCATTTCGAAATATCTTGTGGATGCTCTCGAGGCTAAAGATAATATCCGATTGACTTAAGATTTATACACAATGTTTTAGGTCCTGAGACGAAGAAGCCAATTCATTTTCAGCAATTTCGGATAATTACTGCCAGAGTGATGACCCTTGATCACTTAAAAAAATCTTGTGGATGCTCTAGAGGCTAAAGTTATCATCCGATTGACTTTAGATTGATACACAGAGTTTCGTTGCCTGGCAACCTATCTTTAGATGAAGCCGTAGGTGGAACTGTTGTCTAATCAATTGTTTTGTTGATTCCTTTCTTTAATGTTTTGGCTAAAGTAAAAGAGAAAGAGAGAGAAATGTGGTTTAACGTCCACTTGACACAAACTAGATCATTTCGAGACTAACATATGGTTTAATTTTATTTCAATAATTCGCTTGCGCATAGGGGTCTTTAGCAGTGGGAGGAAACCGGAGGACCCGGAGAAAACCCACGAGGTTGAACAGGCGACCCTACTCCTTGTCACGTACAACCAGGGATTCGAAACCACGGCAGTTGACTCAGTGACAGGCCTTATGATACAGCGCGGACGTGCTAACCATTTGGCCATCCAATCCTCCACCTTCTTCAAAACAAAGCAAACAAGATGACTAGTCATCACCATCCCGCGCCCTTGCACTTGTTTGGAAAGCATAAGGAAAGATAAGTTGCCAGGCAACGAAACATACACCCACAGCAGCTAAATCATCTGGGCAGTCAACATGAGTTGTTGCATATTTTTGCTTTTGTTGGTAATGAAACACTTACACAAATCTGATTAAGAATAACAACTCATTAAAGGACAATATTGGTGTCAGTCATTATCACATATGTGATAGAACTAGTTAAACACGTTCCAAATATAATTTTAACACAGAGATCATTGCTACGATAGATGCGTAATGCAGGTTTCAACAATCGCTATAGGTAATGCAGGTTTCAACAAATGCAAAAGGAAAACATGAGTTATTGCTATATAACTGACTGAAGTGACAAGTGATGTTCCAGACCATTTCAATTGGGTTCAAATCCGGACTCTCGGATGGCCATGGGCACCAGTTGATTCCATTGTCCTTCATGAAGTTCTTAGATAACTTGGATGTGTGTTTTGGGTCATTATCTTGCTGGAATCTGTGTCCATCGGGAAAAATGCTTTTTATGTATGGTAGAAGTGTCCTTTCTAATATTTCTGTGACATAAAAATTGCTGGCCATGATCCCATCGAAAATCAGAAGATTGGGTGGGCCTTTTTTACTTATTCCACCCCATAAGTGTAGTTTTAAAGGATGTTTGGGTCTGGATTGGTGGGGTGCTCCTGCATCTTTTCTTCTGTATGCCACAGTCTTGTTGTCGTGCAGTTGAATCGTACATTCGTCTGTAAATATGACGTTTTCGAATAGGTCGTTTGTTTCTATTAGATCTTGACAAAATGCAACACGGTTTTCTTTGTTTTTCTCTCGAATAAGCTGGCAATACCTAGGAGTTGTTGCTGTATATCCAACTGCAGCTATGCCTCTTTGAACCATTGACAGACTTACGTTGGCCCCATTTTCCCGTAAAACAGTTCTAACGTCCCTTGACGAAGAGTTACAATCTCCCTGCAAAGTAGATTTAATCAAACACAAATTATCTTCCGTCAGTTTCCGGAACTTTGGCTGGCGTTCTGTCGTATCTACAGTGTGATGAATATGACCGTCTTCGTGCTTTTTGATAACCTTCCTTACTGCTACCCAAGTGACTGTAATTTCCTTCTCTTCTAAAAACCTTTTAATTCCGGTAGGGGTCCAACCTTTCTGGTGCAGTTCTATTATCTCTAGTATGTTGTGGTGTGGTATCTTGAAAGGCATTGTAAAACAAAGTGATCATCATTTCACTTCTCTACTGATTTATAGGCCATCATTACACATCTTTTGACACTTAAATACATATTAAACCAGATGTCATCAGGTTGTTGGGTTTGCAGGTCAGAAATCTAGACATCCAGGCGTTACTTACCATGGTGTTACTATACACTGTCGCCATGATTTTGTCACATGTCATTAGAAAAAGAAGCCGATTTAGGAGATTAATTTGATTTCTCTACTAATTTGTAGGCCATCATTACACATCTTTTGACACTTAAATTTAACAAGATGTCATCGGGTTGTTGGGTTTGCAGGTCAGAAATCTAGACATTCAGGCGTTACTTGCCACGGTGTTACTATACACTGTCGCCATGATTTTGCCACATTCGTCATTAGAAAAAGAAGCCGATTTAGGAGATTAAATAACTTATTTTAATTAGTTTATTCACTTATCATAATTATTTCGTCTGTACATGTAACATGGAAATAATAAGTAGTATTTTATAAATAATATACTCATAAATTTTCTTTTGATTTAAAACAAGCTATGGATAACCATTTTAAGTTTCCATTACGGCATCCGGTTCATCCATTAAGGTACATGAAATATAAAAGACACATTTTTTGCATATTAATTATAAACGTAACCGTCAAGGCAGTCCGTATTCGACAATCATATCATTTGGATATGTATACAAATAATATCTTTCCATGTCGGTCACTATTTTTAAATACTTTATTACGTCATTTAGGGCGTCATTATTACATGTACACGTTACTTATTATTAGCAATTATCTTGGACCATCTTTTGTTGGTAATGTAAGCATTCAAACCATTAATCAGAAATCATTATAATTTATTTGGCTTATTGTTCTGCCACATGCTAACGTTTAGTAGCAATTGTGAAAGTGAAAGTTTGCCCGGACAGCGGCGATACGGCCTACTCTTATATCGAATTCCAACTGCCAAGGGATCTTTTACGTGCACACCAATGTGTACACGGGACCTCGGTTTTTCGTCACATCCGAACGACTATGCGTTGTCCCTTGCCAGGCCCTCAATTATTAAAGTATCGATGCTTTTGATTAGCAGGGCGTCATTATTACATGTGCATGTTAATCATTATCAGCAATTATCTTGGATCATTTATGTCATAATAATCATATAAATGTATCAAGTAGATGTATTGACAGCAATACCGATAGCATCCACAATTATGGATAATAACCATTTACGGCATCCGGTTCATCCATTAAGGTACATGAAATATAAAAAAAGACACATATTAATATGATAAAAGTAACAATGCGTGATTTATGTATGGTGTATAACATACTCTTTATTTTATTTTCAGAAGTATGCCTCCGTGGTGCGGAGATTGGTAATTGGATCCCCAGTCACCACAGCGTTGCCTGAACCAATTGCCACATCGACACCAATACAGACACAAACAGCACTAGCCTTGGAACCTACCTTTACACCTGCACCAGCAGCCACATCAGCACCAGCAGCCACAACAGCACCATTGATGCCAATGCCAACACCTGAACCAATTGCCACTTCGACACCTATACAGACACAGACAGCACCTACTTTTACACCAGCACCAATGCCAGCACCAGCAGCCACAGCAGCCACAACAGCACCAGCAGCCACGACAGCACCAGCAGCCACAGCCACAACAGCACCAGCAGCCACAGCCACAACAGCACTAGTGATGCCAATGCCAACTCCTATCCAGTCAGCACTAGCCTTTGCACCTAGATTTACACCAGCACCAAATGCCGTGGCACCAATGCACCAATGCACACCAGCACCAATGCACACACCAGAGCCCACAACAGCACCCATGCCAATCCAAGCACCAGTACCAACACCCATAACAGCACCAGAACCCATCTCAGCACCCACGTCAATCCCATCTATGCAAATTCCAACACCATTAGCGTTGCCGAACCCAGCACCAACATCAGCACCCACGAATTTTGCACCACCTATTGCACCAGTAGCCATAACAGTACCGACAGCTCTTGAACCAGAGTTCGACTTTTCACTACTAACAGTCTTTCCCGATTTAGACGATTTGGAGCAGAATAACGGTAATAATAATAGATGTGGATGTAGCTCCGCCATTCAGCAATCTCTAGACACAATAATGTTAAGATTAAAAACAATAGAAGAAAATCAAGATAAAATTATGAAAATGAGAACACAAATCGGGCATGAGCCACTTGAAATTCACCAGCCATCAACTTCTGCCTGTACAGACGTCACAGTTTTTGACGATATACAAGCTGAATATAGAATTTCTATTGCAGAATTAAAAAAAATAAAAAAACATTCATTGAATATTGGCAATTTTGCCGTAAAAGTAACCGCTAGACTGTTCCCCGAATTGTTCACGGAGGAGAATAAAAGGCATTACTTTTCTTATTTCGGAGGGGGGAAAAGGCAAAAGGATGAGCTTGATCACAAAAGAAAATCAATTTTAAAACGGTATGTGCTTTTTTATTATCCCGAGGTGTCGGATAATAAAGTTTGGAAAGACCGGATCGTACCGAGGATAAACGAAGCGCTAAGGAGGAAATGATAGTGACGACAAATCTATATTTAGCCGTGTATATACATGTATATATATATTTCATGCACCATAAAAAAAATATATAAAAAAAACAACGAAAAACATATCTATTCTATAAAAATATGGACGAACTTTTTTATGTTGATGTATTAAAATGTTAATATGTAATTATCAGAACTGCTGTTCATAATATCGACGAATCGATAGCTAGCACTGTATATATATGTATGTATTTTTAATACACAAATACACCATAAAAATATATATAAAAACAACGAAAAACATCATCTATTCTTCTAAAAAATAAATAAATATATGAAAATATGTAATTACCAGAACTGTTGTTGATAATATGTAAACTGCCCCATGGGTAAATAACGCATTGAGAAGGCAATTATATAACTACCTGAATATGTAATTACCAGAAATGTTGTTGATAATATATTGTCAGTGTATATGCAAAATTGTAATTAAATTTGATACTTTAAACGCATTATGAATAAAAAAATATCTGACGGATTGATTGTTATTCTTATCTGTTCAATAACTGAAACGATTTCATCTGTTTTGCAAATTGGGGATCTGTCATAAGATTGGGCTTGTGTTATGATACAGAAGTCAGTTTTAAAGCCGAAAACGAAATAAAACTAAAATTAGTAACCAGTTTTTCAGCTCCTTCATCCACCCATAAATGTATATATTGAATGCTGTTAAATATGGGTTGCCGAATTATCTTTTCAACTGACATACAAGAGAATATATATTCCCAGCCATTTATGCTGCATGTACTTCTACAAAAATCCTTAAATTATTGTTCATAATTAAAGCTGAAGGGGCGAATTGCTACCTCCTGAATATATTTTCAAGACACTGCTATCAGAATTCGCAAACATGGTTTCATTGTCTGCTTGTCGGATTAAGCGTTGAAATCCACAGTAGCTACGTGTATGTGCTTTGTGACCGATGTATACATGTCGCCTATTTTCCGATAGTGCTATCAGAATTCACGAAACATGGTTTCATTGTCTGCGTGTAAAATTAACCGTTTTCACCCACAATACATGTGGCTACATGTACATACAGTACATTTTCTTTGTGATATGATTCACGATTCTAATACTGATGAAAATCAGGAATAAAGGATAGATTTAGGATATACATGTAACGGTAGGTTTTAGTTACTTTTCATAATCAATTTGCGAAGAAAGTATACTGAAAACCATGGGGCATAACAGGCGAACGGTTAACCTGCGTTATTGTTCCAATACCACAGCAACAATATGGACGACATTCATCTATACATTGCGGACCATTCTCGGCCGACTATATTTAATTTTCGCGGACTATAATCCGCCGACTATTTTATATTTTCGCGGACTATAATCCGCCGACCTTTTTTATATTTTCGCGGACTATAATCCGCCGACTTTTTTATATTTCCGCCGCGTTTTTTCCGCCCAGAATGCCTACATTTCCGCGGAGTGAAAATGAGAAAACACCGCGATTCTTGAGCGGAAAAAACACCGACCAAGGACTAATTTCATACTTCCGCTTGATGTGTACTGTACATGAGCAAATTTCTGCTCATTAATAATTCCACTGAAGACCAAAAGTTGTTGTGTGAGACTGTGAGAGGATATCTGACAATTCGTAAAAAGAATTGACTATCACTAGATAAGAGAACACGAAAATTTTTTTTAGAAAAAGTCTGTGCATTACCATGTTTTTATTAAGTATAAAATGAATAAAAACAAGGTAACGTACCGATTATTTCTATTTAAGTAAATATCAGAAAATCATTAGAATTTTAGTATACAAAACATTTAATACCATGGATTTACTGTTCAAGTTACCAAAAATCATTGAAAATCAATATACTTGTTTGTCTCAAGAACTTGAACTCTATCAATCTAAAGTCAATCGAAACGATTATATATTGGCGTAAACACGGTGTATAAATACAAAATCAATCAGATGATAACTATGGTCACTAAAGCATCCACAAGATTTTTCAAAGTGATCAAGGGCCATAACTCTGGCAGTAATTATCGTAAATCGTTGAAAATCAATAGGTTTCTTCGTCTGATAACCTTTAACACTGTGTATAAATTTAAGGTCAATTGGATATTAACTTTAGCCTCAAGAGCATCCACAAGATATTTCAAAGTGATCAAGGGCCATAACTCTGGCAGTAATTTTCAGAAATTGTTGAAAATACATGTAAATAGGTTTCTTCGTCCTATGACCTTAAACGTCAATGTGTATAAATTTAAAGTCAATCAGATATAAACTTTAGCCTCGAGAGCACCCACAAGGTTTTTCAAAGTGATCAAGGGTCCTAACTCTGGCAGTAATTATCGGCAATCGGTGAAAATCAATAGGCTTGTTCGTCTCATGACCTTAAACACTGTGCATTAATTAAAGGTCAATCGGATATTAAGTTTAGCCTCTAGAGCATCAACAAGCAATTGTGGATGACGGACGGACGGGGGCGATGACAGTACACAACCACATTTCAATGTGGGCGTATAAAAACAACTTCTTGGAATATCCCTGGGACTAATCAGAAGATTCATACTCTGATCACAGTAGCTCGGCAAGGCAGAGTCGCTACTCCATGTAAAGTTTGCACAACAACTACTGTAATAGGTTGATGTGTGTGCAAAGTTTCAAAAAGACATCTTGAACGGTTTATGAGATATGCTCCAGAAAATAAACTGGGACGGATGGAACCCCTCTCAATATCCCTTCCTAACTTGTTCGGCAATAATTAGACGAATGGCCAAACAAATAACGTGGGTGTTATTATATTGTAAAGTGATTTGCACGTAGCCTACCACAATGGCCGCTTGCAAGGAATTGTGACCAATGTTACTAAATTTAGGAACATTCGCAGAACCCTCTATAAATAATATTTCTTACAGATGAGCACTCCTCGAATAATATTTAGAGAATGTTGTGCTTAGAACCCGGGATACAAGTTGAACTAAGCTATATTCCTGGAAACAGATATCACTATATCTTGATTTCCCGTCCAATGGTCTCAAGAGTTGATTATGGGCTTAATAATAATTTATATAACATTTTAACCCTTAACCGGTCTACGTCATTTTAACGTCATGAAGTCAAGTGGTCAGGCTAAATAAAGGCTAAAGTGAAATATTTTGTATGCCTATTTCAAACGACAACTGCCAGATAATTACATGTATAAGTGATAGACTCTTAATACCAATAAAAAAGTTGAAGGGGATAATCCGATAAGCGGATCTATAATTTGCACGTTGTCTCTCGTTTTCTAAATCATTTTAATAATTATTTATTTTCATCAGAAATATCGTCTTCAGAATCGGTGTCATCGATATAATCCGAGTCGGAATCATTCATAAGCACTTCAACCACTTTGAGAGTCTTTAACCTTCCCGACATTGTTAAAAAATTACATTTTTTGTCAAAAAATGTTGAACAAAGACATGTTTTTCTCAATGCCCTTGACAAGACAAGTTTCTGTCTGACACGCATAATTGGCCATATCAATTAAATACGAAACTAAATACTCAAATGCCGCTAATAAAAAAGGTTCTTACTATGGTCGACTGCGGTCAACCGTGACCACTTAGCTGTACAACTTTATGGTGACTATAGTCGACAAAGACCAGTTAAGAGTTAAGCCAAAGCCAAGACCTGCAATACATGTAGGCAGATTTAGCTCTTACATAATGAATATTTAAATAAAACCCAAAACAGCTTTTGTGACAAAATATGTTTATTTCACAGAATCAAGACTTGAATAGATTACTGAACTTTTGCACATCTACCACTTCCCATGGTTATAGAGATTGTAAGGGAAATTTCAGACGATTTGATTAATAACTGTTAATTCTACATACCTTTACTTTTCAAATTAGGTCAATATTGTCAACTCCCTCCCTCCCAGAATATCATTTTGCTTATTTAATCTCAAATATCAGAATACTGAGCTTCTTGCCAACTCTCTAGCACATAGTATAACCCTGGCCAGTTGGAATTAGATATCAGAGCCAGATGTAGTGCCGCTGTCGTGGCAAGCCCCCTATAGCACACTGCATGGCGCAAGACCATCTTCATTTAAGCCTAGTCAGAGCAGAAAGTAGGACACTAAACCACATTTAATTTAATGTTGTACCCTGATGAGTTCTAAATTGCTGCCATAGATGGCGACTCTACAAAACATCACATGCCAAAATTTGTAAAATGTCATATTCTTGTGTGGATTTTTATGTGTTTTTGTAGATGACATTTATTTGTAAATAACTTACGACAAATATCACATTGAAATGTGTTTAGTTTTGTATGGCTATTCATGTGCCTTTTTAAATGAGAATTCATGGCATATGATTTACTACAAACATTACATTTATAGGGTTTTTCACCTGTGTGAATTCTTGTATGCCTATTTAGATCACCCTTACTAAAAAATGTTTTCGCACAAAATTCACATATAAAGGTTCTATCCCCTGTATGAATTTTCATGTGTGCTGTCCGATTACTGCTTCGATTAAATGACCGACCACAAACATCACATTTATAGGGTTGTTCACCCGTGTGAGTTCTGATGTGTCTCTCAATTTCTACCTTCTGACAATATGATTTACCACAAACATGACATATAAAAAGTCCCTTTCCTGTATGAATTTTCATATGTTGCTGTAGACCACCATTCTGAGTAAATGATTTACCACAAACATCACATTTATAACGTTTTCCTCCAGTATGTATTCTCATGTGTAGCGGTAAACTAGTATAATGAATAAATGATTTACCACAAACATCACATTTATATGGTTTATTCCCTGTATGAGTTCGCATATGTTGCTGTCGACCAGCCTTTCGAATAAATGATTTACCACAAACATCACACTTATATGGTTTTTCCCCCGTATGAATTTTCATATGTTCCAGTAGACCACTATTGCGAGAAAATGATTTTCCACAAACATCACATTCAAAAGTTTTTTTCAACCGCATACTATCTTGAATCTTATTGACATCTTTAAATTGTTGTAAAATATGTTCCATGCTTGTCTCGACCTTAACATGAATTTGACAGTGTTTCTTCAAATTAGTGTGAGATTTAAATTTCTCATCACATAAACTACATTGATAAAATGTTTCAATATTATCAGTGTTCTCTTCATTAACATGACAATATTCATCTACATCATCAGTTTTCTCTTCTTTAACATGACAATATTCATCTACATCATCAGTTTTCTCATTTTTAACATAACAATATTCATCTACATCATCAGTTTTCTCTTCTTTAACATGACAATATTCATCTACATCATCAGTTTTCTCATTTTTAACATAACAATATTCATCTACATCATCAGTTTTCTCATTTTTAACATGTATTTTATTGTGTTGTTCTAAATCACTGTATTGTTGGAACATCTCATCACATACAACACACTGATGGAATGTTATAACATCATTGGTTTCCTGTAATATATAAAAGTTATAACATCATTAGTTTCCTGTAATATATAAGATAGGTTGCCAGTATACGAAACATTTAATATCATGGATTCAGCTGTTCAAGTTATCAAAATTCATTGAAAATCAATATACTTGTTCGTCTCAAAACCTTAAACTCTGTGTATCAATCTGAAGTCATTCGGATGATAACTTTAGCCTCTTCACACTGTAACCCAGGTATCGTTTAATCTTGTGTAATTAGCACTAATTTCTTTCACATTCGTTTAATATCAAATCTTTGTTTAAAAATTCGTAAAAATCGTTTAAAATCACCAAAAATCATCTAATTTGTACATGTGTCCAGTTTAAAGCTGACCATTCAATTTTGATAATGAGTGTCCAATCTACAAGTGTTTAATTTCTCAATCATTGTTAAAAAATAAACAAACCAATTGATTAATGATGTATAATGATTAATTTTTGAACAGTGATCAGGAAATTTTTATTTCAGAAAGTGTTGTACGTCTAACTCTTCATAAAGTTTATCAACATGTACATTAAGTGCTCAATCTCTGCGTGCAACCTTTGACGTCACGCGTGCAGATATTCCTAATCATCGGGCTGTCGAATAGGGGAACTCTTTACATTTTTGTCCTGTATACGCTCCATGAGTGTTTTTCAGGGAATCCAGTATTTTTCTAGTAAGATTGGTATTTCTACTTTCTATATATACCAAAATTCCCATACTTTTATTAGAAATAACAACCCAATAAATACTTTTCTGGGAACGTATCTTCAAATGCTGATCTTATCTATAATGTAATCAAAAATAATAATGGCAATCTACTTCCAGTTTGTTTTTGCTGAAAAAGAGGCAGATATCAAGTCAACAGCTAGCACCACAAATGATAATGGATCAGTTCTAAGTGTGTGCGTTAGAATCTAGTCACACGTTACCTTAAGATTTAGACCCAACATTACCTGGTTTGGATTGTAGCTACGAGAACGTAGCTAAAAGCGTTGAGCTATACTGATGTGCTTGTTTTTAGCTACGATTGAGTGCCTGAGTTTCACCTGACAAACTTAATTTCATTTAATGCATGTAACATCTTAAAAATAAGATAATTTTATACTATGACTAATTAAACTTACGCACCCCTTTCTAGACCTAGTGAGACAACTTGGTTTGTCTGCAAATATTGTCAAAAAATTAAATCAAGTGTTGTTTTTATCAAAATTTATACGGACATTCATAATTGGGGTTTATATCGTAATTATCTCTCTAACAAACAGCTTGTTGCATATTCCCAGAATATATACATGCAGTTATATCGCATTATGAACACTGAAATGAAATGAAATGGGGTTTAACATCATACTGTTCTGCTCCTAAACTGGGCTAATGAAGACGTGCATACGCCATACAGTGTGCTATGAGGGAAATTTTGCCCGGGCAGCGGCACTACCGCCTACTCTTTATGGAATTCCAACTGCCAAGGGATCTTTTACATGCACGCCAATGTGTACACGGGACCTCGGTTTTTCGTCCCATCCGAACGACTAGACAGTTGTCCTTGTCAGACCCTCCGTCCTGCATCACTGACAAGGGGAAACCAAGCTGGAAAATCTGGATGAACTTTCTCGGCTAATGCAGGGATCGAACACCCGACCTCCAGGCTAGCGAGCCAGCGTCTTACCCACTTAGCCACGTGATCCCCAAATGAACACTGAAATATCTGAAATAGCAGATATCACCCACCCTTTATTGTAACTGAGCTACATTCATGTATTATTATCAATTCTGTGATGTTTTGACATTTTTTAAGATTAAATATTATTACATGATTGATTGATCTCAGTAGTTAAAAACAATAGGAAGCATTATCCGTTTTCCTAATTTTGAAATTTAAGAACTCGCTACTTTTGGTTACTTTGGATCTGTTTGAGACTGTTGTTGCTGGAGCACATATCATGTTGTGCTATTTACATATTTTAACCATGTGGTCATATGTAGAGTATTTGCTTATCGTTATATAATAAAATTACTCAAATATGCATAATGTATATCAAACTAAAGGGACAGGCAATTTCTCAAATAATTAAACATTGAATGTTATTTTATTACAAATAGTTTACAGTATGGCTTATAAGTGTGACTGGAATGAAGATATGCAACAGAAAAAAGTAGGCTTAAATGAAAGTATGCAAACTTACATGTACAGGTCGCTGTCTAATAGAATCCAGCTTTTTTGTGACTATATTTTTAATGTGAAGATTCAAGGTAGGGAGACTTCCTGGCTTCAGTACACGATAAGCTAAACCTGTTTTCTTTCTCACATCTACAAAAAAAAACCAAAAAAAAACAGCCTTGGGTATTATCTTACGATGAAAATTGTTATTTCGTTTCTGAAAATTTTATGTAGTTGGCAATGAATAACTGACAACTCATCCCAAAGACAACTCATCCCAATATAAGACAACTCATCCCGAGTTAGAAGACAACTCATCCCAACTTAAAAAAAAAACACTTACATGTATCTCAAAAAAGTTTTGCTTGGTTTAATACATGGGTCAAGATATAAGACCACTCGGACCAAGTTATGGCGATTACAAATAAATACCACAGTTGGAATAGCTTGAACTGTGTGGATCTGGTCTGCTTCTGTTGGTGTCTTCTCAATTTCCCCTCAGACATCATTTTTATCTGGGTTGGTAGCTGTGCTGCCTCCGTTTACAACAATGTTAGTAGAAGGTACAATTGGAGGTTTCCTTTTTTTGCCTTATGATTCATTCTGTTATGCCAACTTTCAACATCGTTATTAAAACAAATAAAACCAGCACTTACATTTGTTGGGATGAGTTGTCTTATATCTTGAAATGTTTTAAAGTTGGGATGAGTTGTCTTACATGTATATTGGGATGGGTTGTCTTATATTGGGATAAGTTGTCTTGGACACAAACTCTGTTTTCTCCTCTTCACGAAAAGTAAAAAGTCATCGGTGTTGGTGGTCATACACCTTCCCGAAGTCGCGAAACAAAAACAGCACATTTTGCGGGCAGATTTTTTTGACAGTGATAAAAATAGTATCAGTGGCGCCCCTAGCGAGCTTTTACATTGCTAATCTTTGTAGTTGTACCCTTATTTCATTCAACACTATTACATTTATATTTCATGATCTGAATGGTGAATGCATTTATTTATTCAAAACCATATCTTTATGTATGTATAGCCTCTATATAATATAATATTGACATGATTACTTACGCTCTTCGAAACAATCAGATGTGAAGTGTCTAGAGCATAGCACCAAGTTTTTTTCGTTGAGAGTATCTGCTCTGCCTGCTCTAATAACACCCAAGAGATCATTTTTCCATTCTATATTATTCTTGGGCAGGTGGTGAAATGAAAGGCCACGATTCTTGGCCTTGTTTGCTGGGCATCCATATAGAGCGCAAACAACCATAATAAAATAAATCAAGCACATAAATACCCGGACTCAACACATTACCTGTTGTTGTTAAGACCGGAAGTATGCTGTGGTACATCTCTTTTGCGCATGCGGTGTATAACATGAACGACCTATCGGACTTCCTTTCCTAATAGTTGTATATTTGTACTAGACGTGGATCTATCCAACGCGATCAATTCACAATTGAAACAATTTCATTAAACTGAATAAATATTTCATTTGTTCAGTTACAACTTCCAGCAATACAGGATGAAGGGCTATAGGCAGGGATATTGGTTAGACCTTCAATAATATACACCAGAGTAATCAATGCTATAGGCAGGGATATGGTACACATTCAGTAGGTCGATGGTATATGTTTCCCTTCAAAATATGGGTTACAGCTTCAGCAATATTACATAGCATTACCAGCTCATTAATATTATATTCACATTATTCTATTCTGAAAGCAATTTTATATAAGCTTTTTACTATTTTGGTTCTTTAATGCCTGCTTCCACAAAAGTGATATCGCAGACAAGATGTAGGAGAGCCAAAGGTTTTTCCCCCATTTTTAAAATATCATTTTGTAAACTTTCGATCTGCGGCCTTTAGGCCTTTATTGTTTTAGTGCGAAGTTCTTCCCTTTATTTAACTAAAAATAACATAGCTTTTGGTAGTAGATCAATAGAGACAGCATTTATGTGGATATATATATATACTCTTCAAAAAAAGTAGGGGATATTAAAATGCAAATACCTATGCAGGTTGTGATATGATAAATAGTCATGGACACTTGACATGCTTTGAGAGTATGTTCACAGATGAAGAACTTATCGCCCCAACAGAACCACTGAGCTGCACATGTGACACCCAATAGCGCCATACACGTGGGAGGGGTTCATTGTCAAATTCAAACTGCAGTGTGCTGGTTTATCCTATCCATGTTTGCTTTCCTATCGGTTCTTGCATAAGATTTACTGATTAGCATATCTTTGCTTTAGTGTGTTACGTATAATTTGATCGGGTGACCTGTTTGTCCCTGTCTACATCAACCGACAACACTGCAACAATTGGCCGTGGCACTGCGAGAGGAGTGGGTTAGATTGCCCCAAATCGTGATTGGACGGTTGATTAGGAGCATGCCACGACGAATTGCTGAATGTCTTGAGGACTGGTGGAGCACTTACTCATTATTAAGACAAAAATCAAAAACGTTGATTTTCACTTTTGACAGTGTATCTCTTTGCGAGTGAAATGGGGCCGTCAGATAAGCCGCCCATATGAACTGTTTATGTTCATGTGTAGGCACTTGGCCTGTTATTAACATACACTGGTTACCTCTAATAAAAACAGCAGAGCATTTCCGCAGTTTTGTGTGGTTTCTGAATGTCCCCTATTTTTTTTTTTTTGAAGTATATATATATACTCCTCTTTTCCGGATTGGTAAATGAAAAGTTGCTTCCCCTTATTGTATATAATGCAGTGCATTTCCGCAGTTTTGTGTTGTTTCTGAATATCCCCTACTTTTTTTTTGAAGAGTATATATATATATTGGTAAATGAAAAGTTGCCCAAAACCAATTGAAAAAATTCTTTATCTTTCTAAAATTGCGTTAAACTGTGAATTCTAAAATTGAAGAAATGGGGATGATGTTATTTTGAGACTAACATGCCAATGATTTCATACAAAATTTATGTACACAGTTGGATCTCAGTTTTCCATCTGGGTCTCATCCCACTCAATCTGAGCAACCAGACAGTCTCTCTTTTTCTTCAACAGGTTTTCATCTCACTCATTCTGAGCAACCAAACATAGGTTTTGTTGCCAGCAACACAGGAATCACCACTGATAAGCGAGAACTGAGACTAGAATGTGTGCCATTTGACACACAGTAGTTGAAATCTTGGTCATGCAATCTACAAACATGGCTAATGAGAGAGAACTGTGGTTTAACGCCAACTTGACAGAAACCAGGTGATTTCTTCACTAAATGTGGTTCCATTTTATTTCAATAATTCGCTTGCATGTACGAGTCTTTAGTAGTGGGAGGAAAAGTCACGAGGTTGGACAGGTTACCCTATTCCTTGTCACGTACAAGGGTTGAATCGAAACCACTTCAAATGACTCAATGACAGACTTTGTAATGCTACGTGCATGTGTTATACCACTAGGCTATCCAACCCAACTCCTGAACAATGAAGACTATGGGGAAAACTTCCCCTGGATAGTATTCCAGCCCCCCCCCCCCCATATTCATCGTGTTCCTAATGTCAAGGGCTCCCTTCTACCTCTATCTTCTCCATGCCTACCTAAGTTTTCACCCCCTCAGAATGACTTAAGCACTGTTCCTCGAACTTGTAAGAATTGTGTGTATAGAAAGCTTTTTGAACCATTACTTGAATATATCAATTGTGAAGGAAATGAAATAAGGTTTAATGTCCTGTTTTTGATTGACTGGGCTCATAAAGATGGGCGTACGGCGTACACCTTGCTTATTTCAAATTCCTACGGTCAAGGGTTCTATTATGTGCATGTTAATCTGTACACAGTTTTTCATCTCATCTGAACGACTAGATGCTGTCGTTGCCAGCCCCTTCATCCTGCATCACTGACCAGGGGACAGAACTCTCTCCTTACATCACAGATAAGGGGACACCACTCTGTCCTTGCATGCACCACTGACAAGGATACACCACTCCATCCGGCACCACTGACAAGGGGATACAACTCTATTCTACACCACTGACCAGGGGACACAACATCATCCAGCACCACTGACAAGGGGAAACCAGTCCGGAATATTCTGCGGAACTTTCTCGGCCAGCACCAGACCTCCTGATTAGTGGCTCCCTAATGGGGAGGAGGTTTTGCCTATGTACAACTTAAAACTAAAATATAAAATATCATTTTTTAATTCAATGTTTTAACATGAAAGATTTAAACAGTAACGAAATAAAAGTTACATATATAATAAAACATACATTTATCCACTAATGAATTTGTTTTATTTTCAGATATAAGTGGTTTATGCCATATTGGATGTTGTTATTAGCATTAACCTTATCAACCATAATCAATTTCATAATTACATTACTTTAATTATCATTAAGTTTCCATCAGGGTAATTAAAAGGGTGTCTCTGGTTGGTCAGCATTAACCAAGTATTGTTTTTTTACATGTATATATTGTCTTGTTATATTTCATATTTTATCATAGCTTGATAATGACTAGAGAAGCCTAGTGGAAAAGTTGCTCAGTGTAAGCAGTAATTGTATTCCATAGAATTGTGACCTGTATATATACAGAGAGAGAGAGAGAGAAAGAGAGTGAGAGAGTGAGAGAGAGAGAGGGTTTAACGTCCACTCGACACAAACTAGGTCATTTCGGGACTAACATATGGTTTAATTTTATTTCAATAATTCGCTTGCGCGTAGGGGTCTTTAGCAGTGGGAGGAAACCGGAGGACCCGGAGAAAACCCACGAGGTTGGACAGGCGACCCTTCTCCTTGTCCCGTACAACCGGAGATTCGAAACCATGCTAGTTGACTCAATGACAGGCTTTATGATGCAGCGCGCACGTTCTAACCATTCAGTCATCCAACCCCCCAGGTGAAGTACAAGTGGCCGAGACACGTTTAATATATCAATAAACATAGAGTATAGTTAAAGACTCTATAGGAATCCCTTGCCGATTGAATCCAAGATGGTAGATTATCTAGCGTTGGTATTCTCATTTGTTTGATTACAATTAGCCTGGATTAAACTGTGAGAAATTTGATATTTTCCGATAAATGCAAATCAACATCGTTACATTAAAAAGGGACTATCCCTTATTTGAACAGAGTCTCAAAAATAAAAGTCTGAGTATGTAAGAAATTTAAACGCCAAAATATAGATGAATGGTGTATTGACCGTATCTTAAAATTTCAGCTCAAAATTTTGAGTCGTTTGGACATGACCGTAAAATCTGCTTATCCGGAACGTAACCCTTTTACGATTTCGGGTCAATTTTTTCGTTTGGAGACCTGATAATCGATTCCCGTTCCTTTATACAAAAAATATCTGGTTTTATCTAGACACCGCATAATACAACTTTGGACACTGGTCTCCATTACCAGATGAAGACTGGCGGGTTTCAGTTTTTTGAAAACTTATCAGAAATATTGAGTTAGTTGCTCGGCCCTCAGGTAGAGGATTTTAAGGGGTTTTAAAACAAAATTAAACAGTTTTATTTTCCAAAAAATTATCAGGATTAGCCCTTTAAGTCAAACTCTAATGGAGTACAGTTCAGTAAAATTTTAATGATTTTAGAGTATATTTGACTCTGTCAAAAAAGAGTAAAGATCAGCCAAGTGCTAATGATTTTGGGGTGTTTTCCCTTTATCTCGACTGTGTAGTTCAACTATATCTTGAAGAATTGGCAAAAGTTGTAAATTCACCGAGTCTTCAACCTTGACGTAGTTATCAAGTGTTTGTTCATCCGATGCTCCAATCATCCATGCGAAAGTATTGTATAATGGAATAGGTATCGACGATTTACAGTCATCAGACGAGAGGGGACGTGTGGTCCCATTATTAACAGATGATTTACAGTCATCAGACGAGAGGGGAGATCTAGCTCCGTCATTAACAGTTATTTTTGAAAACGCATCTCTTAACTTCAAGGCAGATGTATAAAGGAAGGGATTAGACTTTGTAGACTTCACACCAGATGGAACAGATTTTGAAGTAGATGGTTCGATCGATGAAGAGTTTATTTGATCTGTATCTTCTCCTGAAACGGTAGAATTCGCAGTAAACGGAACAGATTCTGAAGTAGATGGTTCACTTGTTGAACAGTTTATTTTCTCTGAATCATTTGTATCTCTTGTAGATGTGGCACAAGATGTGACAGATTCGGAACCAAATGAGCCTGTCTCTGTTGATTCACGTGTCGAAGACTCAAAATCCTCTGTATCAACCACAAATACCATCTCACTATTTACACGTTTAGGCGGGTGACTGAACACAAGTTGGGGAAATTTCACTTGAAGACGACTTTTCAACATTGATGATCTGAAAAGTAAACAGAATGATTTGATCAAACTTGAAATAAAGTGGGGTTTAACATGCTACTGTTCTGCTCCGACTGGACTAATGAAGACGAGCATACACCATACAGTGTGCTAAGAAGGCAAATTTGCTCGGACAGTGGCACTATGGCCTACTCTTTTATCGAATTCCAACTGCAAAGAAAAAGTTCCTGGTCCACAAATAATGATGATGGAATCTGAATTTTTCCATTACATCAACTTATATATATGTGCCACTTTTTCCTGGTGCAAAGTTCACTTGAATAAATTATATCTTTAAAACCTGCGTTATCAATAATCACAGAAGTAAAGATAAAACAAGGTAAATAAACCTGTTAGTTTTTCACAACATTGAGGGAATATTTAGTGATTGAGTGGTTTTTAGTATTAGGGGGTTTGTGGTGGTAGTTACACTGTAACTCGGCTATCATTCAATCTATGGTATCAAGCACTAATTTCTTTTAACATTCGTTTAATATGAAATCTTTGTTTAAGAATTTGTAAAAATCATTTAAAATCACCCAAAATCATCTAATTCGTATTTGTGTCAAGTTTAAAGCTGACTCTTTAATTTTGATAACGAGTGTCCAAGTTACAAGTATTTGATTTCCTGACCACTGTTCAGAAATTAATCATTATACATCAATAATAAATTGGGTTGTTTATATTTTAACAGTGATCGAGAAATTAAATGCTTGTAAATTGGACACTCAAAAATTGAATGGTCAGCTTTAAACTGGACACAAGTACAAATTTGATGATTTTTGGTAATTTTAAACGCTTTTTACAAATTTTTAAACAAAGATTTGATATTAAATGAATGTGAAAGAAATTAGTGCTAGATACACAAGATTAAATGATACCTGGGTTACAGTGTTAGCAGTGGGTAGTATGTGGTGGTAGTTACTATTGGGTGATTGAGTAAATTGTCCTGCCATCAGTGATTACAGTACTAGTGTTAGGATTAGAATTAGAATGATGAAAAATGATGATAGGGAGACAAGATGAACAAACCATTGATCCTATTACTGGGATTAGGATGATGAACAAGGATAACAAGATAAACAAACCCATAATCTGAAGCATCCAGATCTTCAACTCTACCAACATAAGACTTGAAGACAGCCAGAAGTTTGGACATATACAGTATCTCTTTATCATTAATAATTCTCTTGGTAATTATTTCACTTGAAAACTTCTCAAAAGATTTCTCATACAACTGGTGGTCACTGTCACTCCTGCAAACATAAATATATATGGGGTATAATGTCCTACCTTTTTGCCCAAACCTGGATAATGAAGATGGGAATATATACGCCATGTAATATTCACTGACTGCATCACACTGATCTAGTCTTAATTTGAGTGCGGACTATCAAGGAATCGTTATGTGCATGCCATTGTGTATTTTTGTCCCTTCCAAACTAATAGAGACTGATCTTTACCAGATGCCCCAATCCACTCTGTCAAGTGCACTGCTGTGGTGCTGACACAAACTAGTAAATGGTCCCATAATATAGAAACCTATCTTCATATCTTAGACGTTTGAGGCAGTCTAAGGAAGAGCAGTTTTGGACTGTCCAGCAATGTACTAGTATTAATTTATCTTCAAGGAACTGAGGTAGTCAGTATCAAGTGGTACAGGGTTAAAGTCGATAACGGTATCAAGGACTCTGAGTTTGATGTTACCACTTGATAACAGTATCAAGGACTCTGAGTGTGATATTACAGCCATAGATATCCCTTAATAATGGTATCAAGAACTCTTGAGTTTGATATTACCACTATGGGTATCAAGAACTCTGGGTGTGATATCACTGCTATAGGTATCCCTTGATAACAGTATCAAGGACTCTGAGTGTGATATTACAGCCATAGGCATTCCTTAATAATGGTATCAAGGACTCTGAATGTGATATTACTGCTATATTGGTATCCCTTAATAATGGTATCAAGGACCCTGAGTGTGATGTTACCACTATAGGTATCCCTTAATAATGGTATCAAGGACTCTGAATGTGATATTACTGCTATAGGTATCCCTTAATAATGGTATCAAAGACTCTGAGTGTGATATTACTTCTATAGGTATCCCTTGAAAACTATGACCCCCATCTTTTATTTGTAGTGGAGAAACGTAACAAGCCTAGTTTACATCTGATTGAATTCAAGCCAAATGATTATCTAGCTTTGATATTTTCCAAATGGCAGGAACTCATACATCATGATTTTAAATGTGGTGTATACTGAGAGAATAATTAAACTTCATTTTCAGACATTAAATTAATATTAAAACAATCAGCAAAATGACGTTAATCCGATCAACAGATTTAACATAAAATTAGCAACATGATGTTATCTAGGATATACTGAAAGATGAAAGAAATATCAGTTTTTTTGAATACTTAAACATGAAATTAATAAATACTTACAAATCGCTGGGTTTCTTGTAAAGAAAAGTGACATACTTCTTATAACAAGTCCTATGGTAACAAACTTCTATAGCTTCACAGTCCTTGCCTCGTATATGTTTTAGTATGGATTCATCATGTTTCTTTGTGGCAGCTGCACGAAGTGAACCTGATAGTGAGAAAGTTAAGATTAGATTTGATAGAAATGCAATACAATGGGGTTTAACATCCTACTGTTCTGCTCCTACTGGGCTGTAATGAAGATGAGAATATTGCATGCAGTGTGCTATGAGAGAAATTTTGTCCAGGCAGCGGCAATTTGGCTTACTCTTATATCAAATTCCAACCGGCACAAGTTCTTTTACGTACAAGGCAATGTGTACAACCATATGTATGTTGTCCCTTGAAAGGGGGGCAGAGAGAGAGAGAAATGGGGCTTAATGTCCACTCGACACAACCCAGGTCATTTCGTGACCATCACATGGTTCAATTCTATTTCAATAATTCGTTGCGCGTAGGGGTCTTTAGCTGTGGGAGGAAACCGGAGGACTTGAAGAAAACCTACGAGGTTGGACAGGCGACCCTGACTCCTTGTCACATACAGCTGGGAAATCGAAACCACACCAGTTGACTCAATGACAGACCTAATGATACAGCGTGCACGCTAACCAATCATAAGGATGTACGTGACAGGAGTAGGGCAGTCTGTCCAGTCTTGTGAGTTTTCTTCTGGTCATCCAGTTCTGTAACCCTGCTAAAGATCCTTGATCACCCAATATCAACCTATTATTGATAAAAACTATTTATACCCACCAGCATCTGTTGTCTCTGCTTGTAATAACTTGTCTTTGACCCTTTTACCATGAATTTTCACAAGGAAGTCATCTTTCTTGCAAATGATGCAGACAGCTGGAAGAATATCATCACTTGTTGAAGACTCTGATGGATTTGGTCTCAAACGTTTATTAGGAGAGTGTGTTCCTGTTTCAGCTTTACGTTTTCTTATTCTTATCTCCGCACGTTTTTGTCGCAGTATATCACAGAACCTTTGATAGCAGAACTTGTGATACCCATACAATTCCTCTGCATCTTCCTTCGTACCTAAATATACATGTACACTGGTATAAACCTAAATACTAAATATGCATGTACACCCGTATAAACAAGCAATTTTTACCGGGGATTTTTTACTATGATTTATTTACAAGGATTGGTTCCTGTTTTTCCTCGGATGCATCACTGAGATCCAAACTTGCCTGCACTGTTATGGGGACTCTTCCGTCCCTCTTTTCTTATCGTGTGTGAGGTTTTATCGTCTTCTTCTTGGGATTATTTAAGTTCCTCTTATTATGTAATGCCATCAATGTACTAACTCAAAACTAGATAAAACATATTATAAATAAAGGATTGTGGTCTTTAAAAGGGTTTTGGTGGTCAAATGGTCTAATGCATGCACTTTAGATCATAAAGGGCTGTAGTCAATACACGTAAGTGGAGGGCCGATTGGTCTAACACAGGCCGATTGGTCTGTTTTTAAGTAAAAGGGTTGTATTCAATAAGTGGGTGGGGGAATGGTGTGGTTATACATGTCACTAAAGGGGGATTGGGCGGCCGATTGGTGTTATATCATTTATAGTGGAAAGGGTTAGGGTCTAGCCTTTAGTACACATCATGTACGCATTGTATAATTATGTGTAGAGAGATAGAGAAATGGGGTTTAACATCCACTCGACACAAAATAGATCAGTTCGGGTCTAACATATGGTTCAATTGTATTTCAATAAGCTGCTTGTGCACAGGGGTCTTTAGCAGTGGCTGTTATTATGTTCTTGTTTATGCTCCTGATGGAAATAATATTTACAATACATGTACTGATAGTGTTACACTAGTGACCTACATGTAATTCTGACATCTATTATACCCACCTACTGATGTCCAACAAGCAATCTTGTGGAACAGAGAGAGAGAGAGAAATGGAGTTTAACGTCCTCTCGACACAAACTAGGTCATTTTGGGACTAACATATGGCTCAATTTTATTTCAATAATTCACACGTAGGGTCTTTAGTAGTGGGTGGAAACCAGAGGTCCTGGGGAAAAACCACGAAGTAGGACAGACAACCCTACTTCTTGTCACGTACAACTTGGAAATCGAAACCACGCCAGTTGACTCAATGACAGACCTTATGATACAGCGCGCACATGCTAACCATTTGGCCATCCAACCCCCCTTATAAAGTTATGGAACAGCATCCCTGAAGAATAATGTTACTTACCATTGAAGACATCCCAAAACGTATCAGCTATCTTCTTCTCTTCTCCATCAAGATTTCTCCATTTACCTGCATATCTAACAACTGTGTTCCAACTGGTGTCAGTAAATTTCATTATTACACCAGGGTTGCTTGTTACACGGTGTATCAGACATTTCCTTTCACCTGCAGAGAGAGAGAGAGAAATGGGGTTTAACGTCCATTCGACACAAACTAGGTCATTTCGGGACCAACATATGGTTTTAAATTTTAATGTTTTATTTCAATAACTTGCTTGTGTGTAGTGGTCTTTAGCAGTGGGAGGAAATCAGAAGACCCAGAGAAAACCCACAAGGTTGGAGAGGCGATCCTACTAGTCACATATAAACGTGAATTCGAAACCATGCCAGTTGACTCAATGTCAGGCCTTATAAATATAATACAGCGCATACGTGCTAACCATTCGGCTATCCCCCCAGTTTCACCTGAAACATGCAATATACATGTATATTTGCTATATTGCTTACAAAAACAATGAAATGTGATTGTCAATCTTTAATAACCAAGATCCAGAATAATAAAATAAAATGTGATATACATTACTAGCTGATACCGTTGACTAATGAATCTAGGCCTGTTAGTAACGACAATTTTTGTCATTAATTCATATATGTACATGTAGATTCTACATGTAATAAATCTTTAATCTATCAAGACATTCTTTACCACATAACTTACATATTAATGAGTTTCCTGTCGTGTGAATTCTTCTGTGTACATCCACATCTTTAAAATATTTATCACAAACATCACATTTATGGTTGGTGCTGAGGTGTCTCTGATAACCACTTTGTACCACGAAGAATCTATCACAGAAATTACACTGATGTAATCCGTCGCTCCCATCTTCGCAGTTCAGATCTTTGTGTCTCTTTAGCTGGCGCTTCCATTTAAATGATTTACAACAAACATCACACGTAATCGGCTTTTCACCAGCATGAGTTAATGTGTGTGTTTGCAGATCACCATGGTTACTGAACGAAATACCACAAGATTCACATTCATATGGTTTTTCACCAGAATGAATTTTCATGTGTTTCTCTAGATCTCCCTTCTCATGAAATAAAAAACCACAAATATCACATTCATGAGGTCTCTCTGCTCCATGAGTCATTCTATGTCTTGTGAGCAGACATTTTCTATTAAACGATTTACCACAAACATCACACAAAAGACTGGCGTTGTTTACATCTAGTTGAAATTCACAATCTTCAAAGTGCTCTGAAAAATCTTCTATGGATTCTTCCTCATCAAGCTGGATTGTCTCTTCTTCTTGATCATGAATTGTCTCCCCCTTGCTAACACGAATTGTCTGCCCCTTGTTTAAACTAGTTGTTTCTGCTTTGTTTACTCCAACTATCTCCCCTTCATTCACACCAACTGTCCCCCTCTCGCTAACATGAATTGTCTTCCCTACATTATCATGACTTATCACCCCTTTGTTATCATGTATTGTCTCCCCTTCATCCACATGAATTGTCTCCTCTTCATTAAGATGTACATGTATTTTACAGTGTTCATCTAAATCAGTGTCAGATGTAAATTTCTCATCACAAACATTACATTGATAAAATATTTCAACATTCCCTTCTTTAACATGGTCTTCACAGTGTATTTCTAGATCTGTTTCTAATCTAAATTCTTCATCACACAATTTACACTGATAAACGTTTTCAACATGATAAGGTTTCCTATCTTTGAACTGTACATGACAACATTCATCGACATCATCAGTTTTCTCTTCTTTAACACGAGAATATCCATCTACATCATTAGTCGCCTCTTCTTTAACATGACAATATTCATCAACATCATCAGTTTTCTCTTCTTTAACACGACAAAATTCATTGACATCATCAGTTTTCTCTTCTTTAACATCACAATATCCTTCTACATGTACATCATCAGTTTTCTCTTCTTTAACATGACAATATTCATGTACATCATCAGTTTTCTCTTCTTTAACATGACAATATTCATGTACATCATCAGTTTTCTCTTCTTTAACATGACAATATTCATCTACATCATCAGTTTTCTCTTCTTTAACATGAATATTTTGGTTAGCTTCCTGTAACATATAAAAGTTATTACATAATTAGTTTCCTGTAATATATCATACATGTAAGTCTAAGTCTGGGTCGTCTATTGAATATAGGGGGGGGGGAGTCTAGTGGTTTCCATACCCTGCTTGTATGTGACAAGGAGCAAGGTCACCTGGCCAACCTCGTGGGTTTTCTCTGGTTTCCTTCCACTGCTAAAGACCCCTATGCACAAGCAAAATATTGAAATAATGTTAGTCCCGAAATTGCCTAGTTTGTGTGGAGTGGGTGTTAAACTCACTCTCTCTAGTAAATTGGTAAATGGATATCAGTGTTTGAAGGTATCTTGGTATGGACAATCAGAACAAATGGCCTCAGACGAAACCAGAACACAGTACAACGGGGAACTAGTGAGCGTCTTGAACCAATTACATCACTTCCAGTTTTAATAAAAATCAACTACTTTGTTTGTTTTACAGTGGTTATTATTTTTACCATAAACATATTTTTTAAAATTCATGGACACGTTGAAAATCATTGGTCTTCACCTTTAAGCTGTTGTGGTTTTGCCCTGTACATGTATAATACAGGTGTCAGGATAACCAGGACTACTTCCACCTTCCCATGGAGTCCTGTACTACCACTAGGATTTAACATATATATTGCCGATTTGCCATGGCTACAGTTTCGAACATACATGTACCTACATGAAGAGATGTATGGTGGCCTGGCAGAGTGAGTTTTTACATTATCGAAATGATAGACCTAAATGCCAGCCGGTCTTACCATCCATATGTTGAGATCATAGCCCTGAGGGTAAATCTATGCACTCCTCCTCCTGTTTAATACTTGAACCCTTAGTAATGTCTTTGGATAGAATCTATATGGTCACAAAGACTACCTGGGATGCTGCTACTATTAAGTCTTTTGTGTCTTTATCTCGATTTTGGCTACAGTTCAGATTAAGCATGTTGAGTAGTCTAAGATATGCACTAACTTTTCAACACTAAACATACATTATGCAAGAGCTAAATCTGTCTATATATTGCAGGTCTTTCTTTAGACCTGAAATGTTATCTAAATTATTATTTAGACATTAATTAACCTATCCAGACCATAATCTAGATGGCATCGCTAGCCTGCGATCTTTAATGGATTTTGAACAGATTTACTGCACAACTTTCATTCACGATTTAATGATTAAATGGATAATCAAGACTATGCTGTTTATCGTACTGACTTTAGTAATGATGATCAAGGCTAGGTGGATATTCAATCGCTTTGTTCTCGGTTCATAGTGGATAATTTGAATGAAATTTTCAGCAAATAGCCTTTACGTTATCTAGTTTTTAACTATTATAGTGAGAACTGCCAACTCGTTATCGAATCTCCCATAATGTATCTAAATCTTATTAAGACTTTGCACACTTGTTCCATATGTGGTGGTTGGGTGGCTGAATGGTTAGCGTGCGTGCGCTATATCATAAAGTCTGTCATTGAGTTGACTGGCGTGGTTTCGTATGTTGTACGTGACAATGCGTAGGGTCGCCTGTCCAACCTCATGTGTTTTCTCCGGGTCCTCCGGTTTCCTCCCACTGCTAAAGACCCCTATGCGCAAGCGAATTATTGAAATAAAATTAAACCATATGTTAGTCCCGAAATGACCTAGTTTGTGTCGAGTGAACGTTAAACCCCATTTCTTTCTCTCTCTCTGTTCCATATGTAAATAATTCAGGGGACACTTACAATCCGAATATTTGATGTGTAATAATTTATAGCAAACGAGAAGGTTTCCCGGACCTACATGTACATTGTAGATCAGTTATTGAATAAATTATGATGTTGTATAAACCATTCAGGTCATCTGCAGTAAACAATCATGGCAGTTTCACCGTGGAACATTGACGCCTATCTATATGACGTCAGAAGGAATTCCCTCTAATGTGACTAGAACATTTCCAGAATTCAATTTCTGATGCCGAAGACTACCATTTTGGAATGTATAAAATGATTGAGAGCGGCGGAGTAGTACATCGAAGTAAATATTTACTTTTTACATACGAATTGACGTATTCAAAGAATTTACTGGATTCACAAAATCTTGTTTGAAGGCAAATAATCAACAAAGATTTTAAAATACTTTGAGTGGATATTTTACGTTTTTAGTGTCAAAATATCGCTTACAACCGCTTACATGTATCGATATCTCTTTTTAGTATACAGAGAGAGAGAAATGGGGTTTAACGTCCACTCGACACAAACTAGGTCATTTCGGGACTAACATATGGTTTAATTTTTTATTTCAATAATTCAATTGCGCGTAGGGGTCTTTAGCAGTGGGAGGATACCGGAGGACTCAGAGAAAACCCACGAGGTTAGACAGGCGACCCTACTCCTCGTCACATACATGTACAACCGGGGATTCAAAACCATGCTAGTTGACTCAATGACAAGCCTTATGATACAGCGCGCATGTGCTAACCATTTGGCCATCCAACCCCCCTTTTTTTAGTTTACATAAAAAACTCATTGGTTTTTTTTTTTGCGTTTCCATGGACACCAGACAAACCACAGCCTATAGCCAAAATTGTCCTATAGCTTTTATGGACTTGCAATTGGCACTACTCATGCCAAATTTTATGAAAATCCATGTAGGCATAACTGAGAAAATTTTGTTTTATTGTTGGTCCTGCTGTGATACATCTTGAATATTTCCAAATGGAACTAGATCATTACATAGCCTGTGGGTCATTATTGTATATGTATATATTATTATTATTATTGTTGTGTGTTACTAGAATACAAAGACCAGGGTGGCATACTCACTGCGCTTTTCTGACCAGAAAATGCACAAGGTAGCCGGCAAATGTGAACATAACGCGAGAAAATGTCTCAAAAAAATTACAAACTTGAAAAACGTCGCGCTCTTACAGCTTTCCAGTTCAGATTGCATGTTCAAAACAAAAGCCAGAATCTGCGATCATTGATACCACAGCACGATATCTGGCGTTTCCACCACGCTTATGACGATCTTGACGCGCTCTGAGAAGCACAGTAAGGGCCCCACCCCGATCTGATGGAGGTACATGTATTATTGAAAGTCCAATCTTACACCCCCAACTAGATTGAACATATAAGGAACAGTATATTCTAAGAAATAATTTATCAGAGACCTGCCCTTCAGTAGGTCCTGCTGCCTACTACATACAATCTTTCCACTAATATAGGCTACTAGAAGTTACTTGGTAACAATAAACAATAATTATATATATTTAAACTTAATAATATTTTATAGTTGTTGTTAAGGGGTAGTATTTAAATGACATTTATTCATTCATTTACTACGATATCACCCTTGGTGGAAGTGGATGTAAAATCCCAGGAACGAACGAATATTCATTTACTGAGGTGAGTACTTGAGACCTTGATTATGTAATGTTATCTATGGATTATCTCATTACTACTATTGTCTATAATCTTGTTAACTTATTTAGATACACCATCTTGGGTGCTCAGTTATGGCATAAGTCTACCCCTTAATTAGGGGAGAGCGGGGATGGTTCGGACAGTGGGATGGTCCGGACAGCCCCCATAGCTTTAATCTTTACAAAACAATGCTATCCGTTTTCTGACTGGTTAATTAAATACTAATGATCTCATCTTGTAACATAGAAAACACATGGCAGAGATAAACATTCAAATGTAGTTTTTTTTCTATTTTTGACAAAGTTGATGTAAAAAATTTCTAAAGTTAAATGGTTAAATTAATTTGGTGTTTAACAAGTTTCTTTTTGGGGTACGCTGTCATCTCTTTCTTCCTTCGCTTATTAATAGAAATAGATTGAAAATTTATCATATTTTCATTGTACATAAACATAATGGCGGCTTACATCAGAATTATGGGTTTGGGGTACATCCGGACACTGTCCAGAATTACCCCACAAGTAACAGAACACAATTTTTATGGTAAACAATCACTGGTTTTATTCTATTAGCACGACGTTTCGACAAGTATCCTCTTATCGTTATCAAGCACAATGACATTTAGTAAACTTGGATTTAATATATAAGAGTTCATGATGAAGCCCACAAGTGTTCCGATCAAACCGTTAAGTATTTCCAAAAGTCAGATTTGATAATAAAAAAGAATGATGACTGGCAGTTACGGGGTCTATTAAGTTTACAGAAATTATGGGTACTGCTTTACTGCCATTAAATCAAATTCTGTCAATTCTTCCGAAACCCTTGTTCAGTAGCAACAAGGGGTTGAGTTATTACTACAGATTTGGTCTGTCATTTGAGGGAATAAATTTTTTAGCTTTTTTGATGTAAATTATGGATTGATGTCATACCTAGAGGATAGCAAGTAGCTTTAAAGCTTTAGAATTATCAGTTAATTTCTTTTTGAATATGTTAATTTATTTCCGTCCAGCTATGTTAAAAATATGCCTCAGTTAGATGACATTCAGTTTTAAAACTATCACTACTGTGTTAACTTTATTGTTAAAGGAACTTTTTGAAGAAATAGGACTAAACTGTGAAAGAAATCTTTTCAATTTGCTTTTGTCCAATCGTCCTCCACTTGTCCAAAGTATCCCCCCTGCTAATGGGGTAAATACAGACATTTTACTAACCCCCCAAATATCACTGACTGAATATAGCCAATAAGGTAAAGTCTATTTTCCATTCTTAAGTTCAGAGACAAGTGCATTAGTAGTTGCATAAATGCGAAAAAAACAAAAAGTGTCCGAACCATCCCTGCTCTCCCCGGTCATAGTATAGTTGTTAGTTTATTGCTGACATTCTCAAGTGAGACTTCAGGCATTGACATTTTAGTATTATTTACGCCAATCTCAGATTTTAAAATGACATAACATTGGATCTAAATTGAATATTTTGATGAAATAAGTTTTTGGTGTAGGATACTATGTATATTTTCACAATTTTATGTATATTTTATAAAAAAGATAAACGATGTTAGACGTCATAAACTAATCTTATCACAAACGTTTATCCATCGAATAGTTCATATTCAGATTTCATATCAAGTCAATTAATTAAGTTGTCCATACATTAAAATCATAACACCAATTAACAAACAATACGAGTACCGGTATACCTTATTACAAAAACATCGGTGAACTAATCTAAAATCACAACGGCAATTAAATAACAATACGAATATCTCAACATACTTTACTACAAAAACATCGGTGAACTAACCTAAAATCATAATGCCAATTAACAAACAATACGAATTTACGGTAGTACGACATTTCGGTCCCGCATCAGATGTTTTGGACTCTGATGAATAATTAAAATTATGTGATATATAGTAACAGCTGTTTGTTTTTTGGTTTTATGTGAGGCTGATAGTTGTCTTTTGTTTTATTTAATTGATCGGCGATTGTACATTGATCATGCGATTAACACTGCTAGTTCCCTTTTGTTTTGTTTAATCGGTGAATATTGAACTTGACGACAATAAAATACAGTTGAAAATTTGTGTATATTTTGTAATACTTCGTTTTTCTTTTGATTGTTGTCTTTTCTAATATTTTCTACAAAAAAACCTTTGATTTGTACGCACTAATTTGTCGATTGGTACTGCCATCTACAAGCGGTATCACGTCATTTGGGACTCACGTCATTTGGGACTCAACATAAACGACATTTGGGACTCGGTTGACGACGTTTGGGACTCAACACAAACGACATTTGGGACTCAATATAAACGACAGTTGGGACTCTTAAGAATTTATGAAGAAATAGTAATAACTTATCTTTTTTCGTTTTAGATGATGACCGAAGACAGATTGAATTGAAGACAGATTCAGAATAATAAAAAAGAAATGAAAACATTATTAGTTGTCTTTTATTTAAAAAACATTATTGATCATTTAATTAAGCTGTTACTAATCAATTGAAAAGAAAAACACGGCCGATACATGTCTTTTGATGGCTGAAGACAGATTAGGAATAATAATAAAGAAATGAAAACATTATTATTGATCATTTAATTGAGCTGTTACTATTCAATAGAAAAGAAAAACACGGCTGATACCTGTCTTTTGATGTATTCAACAAGTGAACTGGTGAAAACACCCTTAATGATTAAAGTCGTAAATAAAAACACGGCCGCTGATCACTGTCTTTTGTTGTATTTAATCTGGAGTTGATTAAAGCCGTAAATAAAAACACAGCTGCTGATCACTGTCTTTTGTTGTATTTAATCTGGAGTTGATTAAAGCCGTAAATAAAAACACGGCTGCTGATCACTGTCTTTTGTTGTATTTAATCTGGAGTTGATTAAAGCCGTTAAGAAAATCACGACCGATACCTGTCTTTTATTGTATTCAATTAGTGAAAACACCCTTAATGATTAAAGCCGTTAATAAAAAGCCGTTTATTATATAAAATATATTTATAATTCAATTGGCATTTTGTGACTTTTTCTCAAGTCCCAAACGTGGTATACCCGAGTCCCAAACGTCGTGGTCATATTTTTTTGAGTCCCAAATGACGTGAGTTCCAAATGACATGTACAATGTAATCCTACAAGCTTGTCAAGGAATGCATGTCAACGTGCAGCTTACGGATTATCGTTAACAATTTCTAGGGACTTGTAAAAACAGTGCATATCGTGTAAATATTTACTTTTGTTTTTTGTGTAGGTCATTTTTAAATAAATTCATCTGCATATTTTTTCTTTATTTTTTTAATTTGGCTTATTATAAATTGATTTGACAGTTGTGTTAAACCTTTCCTTTCAACTTACTCCCAAGTCCGAAGCGTCACCTACCCGAGGCCATATTTTTTGGAGTTCAAAATGTCGTACACATGATGACTACTACATGTAAGTCCGAAATGACGCGGGACTGAAAAGACATGTAATTGAATATACAGCGGTGAACTAATCTTGGTTGTGATGGGTAATCATCAAAAATCAACGAGTAAAACTTATTTATTCAATACATTTAAATTGTGTACGAGTCAAGTATTAGTTGTGGACGACATAACCAACGGTTGTGGACGACTTTGCTTGTGGACGAGTAACATTGACCTAAAACCCCGAATTTATAGAATAGAGCTATACACCCTTTAATGAAATAATACAATCAACTCACCATATTCAGTACTTGCTTTAGTTGTAATAGAATCTTGAGCTGATCTTTATTTCATAACGTTTTTTTTATAATAAACACGACAAGGGATTTCAAGCGGTCAAGACAGTACAAATACAACAACTAGGTCAAACGAAAAAAGGTATTTCCGGTGAAGCGCCGTCATCGTTGTATATTCGTGTTGGACATGGATTCAACCTACACGAATAGTTCATTACTGAGGATTAGTTATTGATTCATTTCAATTGCACAACACATACAATTCAGCTCAACCTAACTATATGAATTTAATAATAATAGTAAAAATGTTAATAATTACAATAATAATTGAAATGGGAGCTATTCATATCTGCATTGTTCTCTCAGGTTTCATGTACATATATTATTTTACTGACATTGTAACAATTATAATCCCGACCAACACAAACTTTAAATACAGCACACACACACTCCATCGCCCCCTCCCCCCACCAAAGACTAACACTTTACTTACAACGAATTAATTATCAACAGCATGAATGTCATCTGCTAAGAGAATAAAATAGATCGGATTTCCTTGGCTTTCATTTCCACATACTTTGAACATAGTACAATAGTTAAGAAAGCTTTGGCGGTGGAGGTGGGGATGTGGGGGTGAATATAAGAAATATGTGTTTTTAAAGCTAGATAAACTTTCCTCAACCAACTGATTCACAGAAATAAGAAAATAAACAGGTATAGTTTTTATCCCAGATTATGACATGGGGTTCATATTTAAGTTACACCATTTATTAAAACAGGTATCTTTATTAGCCCTGTCACTAGCCCTGTCATTAGTCCTGTAATTAGCCCTTTCACTAGCCCTGTAATTAGCACTGTCACGAGTCCTGTCATTAGCCCTGCCACTAGTCCTGTCACTAGTCACATCATTAGCCCTGTCACTAGTCCTGTCAATAGCCATGTCACTAGCCCTCTAAACAGCCTTGTCATAAGCCCTGTCATTATACCCGTCACTAGTCCAATCACTAGCCCTGTCATTAACCCTATCACTAGGCCTGTCATTAGCCCTATCACTAGGCCTGTCATTAGCCCTATCACTAGGCCTGTCATTAAACCTGTCACTATCCCTGTCAGTGAAGAAGAGTAGGGCGTTAAACCCAGTGACGTAGCCAGGATTTGGGAGTGTGTTAGGGTGTGTGTGTGTGTGTGTGTGTGGGGGGTGTTGCAACCTGAAGTAGGGTTCCTGGCGGTTCTTTCCTCTGCGAAAATTTAGAAAATTCGCGTTAATTCTCCGGCATTTGTGGTCGATGCTGAGAGCAAATTCTTGGAACAGCGATGGGACATAAACTATAGATCGGCCTCATTTGTGAGAGGTAGTATAAGATCACAGCGGAGTGGAAGAATGATGACATAATGGAATCGAGCGCCTACGGCCCAGGAAAATTTCTGATAGTGACGCATAATATGTAACATACTGAGCTTTTGAAATGGAGCCCCCCCCCCCCCACCGCGACACAGGTACACACACACGCCCGCCTCCCTACGACACTGGTTAAACCACATTTAATTTCACAGAAGATTATGTTTCGAATAACTGTTTTAATCTACAGATACTGAAAACACCAGGTCATATAACTTCACCAACTTCAATAAAACACTACATTGTCATATTTCATATATATAATTGCATATGCTGTTATTTCATCTGATCAAATGTCCTCGTATAACCTCATAAAATAACAAGTTGCCATGTTCCATAATTTATTATCTATTTATAGTTGTATAGTTGTGGTCAAAGTGAAGATATCTGGAGGTGTGGTGTTTTTATACGGAGATGAGGCGAAAGAAAGTAAATACATGTACATGTTAACATATTTTGTTGGTATACATCAATCTGATTAAAATACAGATCTATATTTCGTTTCGGTTTTTTTTTTCATACTTTCGATGACCTACTCTACATGAAGACCTGACCGGTTGTGGTGCAACTTTTGCCCTTTGACGTCAGACATTTGATTAACCAATCAACGTTGATGTTTCTAGTGGATTACCCACAGCTCCGCGCACCCCACGCCAAAAACTCGCCGTAACGGACCGTTTCATTGGCTAATCCCTCACATCACCCAGAACGCGGGTTATATACATGTAATAACGCTTTCAGATCAGTTTTGAACTATAAAAAAACGATTCGAAATAGAATCTGTGTTTAGATATGTATTGACAAATTAGATTTTGAATGGCATATCCTGTTTTCTGCTCTGGGTATGGAATGCCAAAAGGTTCCCCACGAAACACATGGCTTATCTCCACTGAATGCGAATGGATTTTTTCAAAACGAAGATAATATAAACCGCTTGTAATATTATTATATACATGTATACTCTTCAAAAAAAGTAGGAGGGGATATTCGGAAACAATACAAAACTGCGGAAATGCAGTGCTGTTTTATTGGAGGTAACCAGTGTATGTTAATAACAGGCCAATTGCCTACATATTAACATAAACAGGCGGCTTATCTGAGGCCCCATTTCACTCGCAAAGAGAAACGCCGTCAAAAGTGAAAATGTACGTTTTGGATTTTTGTCTTAATAATGAGTAATTGCTGCACCAATCCTCAGACATTTAGCAATTCGTCGTGGCATGCTCCTAATCAACCCTCCACTCAGGATTTGGGGCAATCTGACCGACTCCTCTTGCAGTGCCACGGCCAATTCTTGCAGTGTTGTCGGTTGACGTTGACGTCGACGAACACGTCTGCCGATCAAATTAAACGTAACACACTAAAGCAAAGATACGCTAAACAGTAAATCTTATACAAGAACCGATAGGAAAGCAAGCATGGATAGATAAACCACCACGCGGCAGTTTTCATCAGCCATTCCTTGAAGTGTCAAATTTGACAATGAACCCCCCCCCCCACGTTTATGGCGCTATTGCGTGTCGCATGTGCAGTTCAGTGGTTCTGTTGGGGCGATAAGTTCTTCATCTGTAAACATACTCTGAAAGCATGTCAAGTGTCCATGACTATTTATCATATCACAACCTGCACAGGTATTTGCATTTCAATATTTCCTACTTTCTTTGAAGAGTATATATAATAGCCTACAGATGTCAACATTCTCTTGTATTTTTAATTTATTCTGTGGTGTTACATTTAGTTGTGTCCCGTTTTCATTAGCCCAGTCGAGGCAGAACAGTAGGACATTAAACCTTATATCATTAGCACAGCTGGAGCAGATCAGTAGGACATTAATCTCCATTTCATTTCACTTCGTTTTCCTAGATAACTGTTATCATTAAAGATACGTTAGTTAAGAGTTTGATAAAGAGTTGGCCAAGATAGCAGTTCAAAAAAAGATAATAAAAAAGAAAATATTGAAAGTTTCTGTCAAATTACTTTATTCTGAACGAAGTTATTACTGTTGGAAGATTGGCCTAGAAATAAATAAGCGTTTTCGAGAATTTCCAATCATTTGATTGACAGACGATAACTCCACCCACATAATCTTGATTGTCAAGAAACATTCTCAATAGCTACGGTAGCCTCGATTGCCAGTCCTTTCATCGACAGTCTCCGGAGTGACGTCAGTGGTTAACAGTAAATGTTATCTTGGTCAGCCAGTTATTGATTTCATTATTAAATGGACGACTGTTAAATCAAAGCTATATCCAAGCCATCCGGGGAACTACAGAGATGATTCTGGGCCTGTTATGTAAATATAGGTCTAATTAATAACTTCTATAACATCTGAAGACCAAAGAAAGACTTGCAATAGGCAGATTTAGCTCTTAACTAATGTATCTTTAATTTGTTAATTTTGTGTCCAGATGTAGGTACCTGTTAAGAAGCATTTATTAAGAAGACTTGACTTTAAATTGAAGCTTGTTGTGGTGCACCATTCCACCATACTTCGGCAGTTAAATAGTCTACAAAACAACTGGCTTATTGTATACAAAATATTTAAAAACTTGGAATAACCCAGTTATAACATAGGACTAGAATATTATCGGAAAATAGGAATAGTGTCCAGATATAAATAATTGTTAACCCTGTTATAGGAAAATAGGAATAGTGTCCATATATAAGTTATTTTAACGATGTCATATATACATGTATGGACATTATTTCATTTCCATTTTCCTGCACATACCGGGCTAATGAAGATGGATAGATACTACTTTCATCGAATTTCAACTTGCAGACGCATAGACATCAATAAAAGGGATATTTTATACGCACACATTTCAGTTGATCCGAGATAATGACTTTGAAATAAAATCTTTAAAAGACAGTGAAATAATAATCAAAACACAAGAAAATCAAACTGGCTTAAAGGTACCCAGATGAACAGTCACAAAATGTCAAGACTTCAAATTTGAAAAAAGATGATTATAACCATAGAATGAGAATTAATGAAATAATGTCCAGATATAAATTATTGTTAACCCTGTTATAGGAAAATAGGAATAATGTCCAGATATAAATTGGGGTAATTATGTCATAGTTCTTATTACATTTTACGGCTGGCACAAGCCTTTATAAGCAAGTGCCAATTGTAACACTATTTTAGTGATAACAGAGATCAGTTTAATGCATATAGGGTTTATTTACATCGGAACAGAATATAGCACATCTACATAATTACAACAACAACACATGAACTTAAACTAATATACAGGAACAAGACTACATCGGGAACTAGACTTCGACAGGAACACATATAACAATATTAAATATGTGAATTATGGGAGAAAAAGAAAAATCAAACATGATTATTATGATCACTAGATGTCAAAGGAATTTGGTATCAAATTGATTTCGACTCACCAGTAAATTTCCTAACAGAATACGTTGAATACATTGATGACATCTTGCTAAAAATGGCAACTAGTACACCTAAAACTAAAGTTGGACTTTCCTTTCGTCTCCCACGAGGTAATCACTGACCAGATAATCAAGCCAAAAGGTATTCCGCGAGCATTGAGTATCTGGTGTGTATCTTATATAATCGAGTCCATAGTATGTACGTTTGGAATGCTTTCCCATTGAGAAATGTTTATGTTGTTGAAAAATAAAATACAATCCTAAACTTTACACATATGATGCCATTAATGAACCAGCTGATGAACCATGCCACAGATAAATTTACACTCGAATCAACT